TTTATAATTTTACTTAACTTTTTCAAATTTAGTAAATAAATATTTCTTGGGGGTCACTAGGCCATGTGCCCAGCTTTAGGGGCAATAAACCCCCACAAACCCCAAGCAACGATTTGCATGAATGAAGTTGTTCAGAAGGATTAGTTATGCAGAGGTATCAGCTGATGAGTTCAATTAAGTATACTTGCTTAGCAATTCAGTACAAATAAACGGGCTACTAGCAACAGCCTTTGCGAGAAAGAGAAACTAAAACTGGCGTGTAGAGATCTCACAGCGTCTCGCATACGAGTAAGCGATAAAGACCCTTTAGCAAAACAAGAGCTTTTACTTACTCATATATTAATCCTAAAAAGTCTAATATAAGAAATCCTGTAGGCATATAAAGATTGATGTACGGTATGGGCCTATATCAGGCTAGAAGTTATTATAAATCTGTAATTACTTATTTAATTAACATATTTTTTTCCCGTATACCTTTCTAATTTTTTAAAATTTATATATAAAAACGTTATAAACCAAGATTATAGACCATTCTCACCCTTTTTGTTTCTTTATTTTATTATAATTATCTCTGTTTTACTACATTTATCTTGGACAGTTAGAAAATAGTATGAGAAAAATTTTATTACGTGACCTTCTTGCCCTGGAAGAAAATCATTATTTCAAAAATCGCATTATTAGGACACCTTTGATTGTTTGATTATTGTATCATTATTTATAAATACGAGAGCGTTTACTTATGAAATCATATATCTTCATGAGGTTTAAACTGAATAATGCTAATAATTAATTCATAAAAACAGCATTATACCCTCTAAAACGACTAAGTGATTACAAGATAAATTATGTAGGTTGCCAATAATAATTTATTGACGAAATTAATTAAAGTAGAAAACGGGTTTAGAGAAGATGTTATAAACACCTTATTTACCTTAAACTAACTATTTCTAATCCACTTATATTTCTGGACTTCACTTTAAATTTCAGTGCTTGAGACTTCTATTACATAACTTTTTTTTTAACAGGAACAATAACTGTTTTCGAAAGGCCTATTTTTTAATAAGTGTGTTTTGTACAGCATAATTTTCTTATAAAAACTTATATTATTTTATAAAATGGGATTTGAAAAGTAAAACTTAGCTAATGCAACCCTGTTCGAGGAGAGAAAACCATGTTACTAGGATTGCTTCTCTTTTAAGTACATTTTTTTTTCCTATTTAAAATTATATTTATAGTATTTGTAGCCATGTCTTGAAAAATAAAATATAAATTTTGTTTATACTTGATCTCTATATTGTACGTATAGAGTCCATAAAATATTTTGAACTAGGTAATATCATCATTCATCTATTAACTACACCAAAAGAATTAAAATTTTCAAGTATTCTATTTGGGTACGTGAATGGTACACCCTTATGAGAGGCATAATTACAGCTTCAGTTTTCGCTACAAAGCTTTTTTGTAAAGATTGATTTTCACTTGTTATTGTCAGAAGATGATTGACAACATTATTGACAACCATTATATTCCCTATTATAGTTTTTTCGAATTAAACTAAATCAATGTTTTAAAGGTAGTTAGCAAGTACAAATTTATTTCAATGAAGATATCACTTAACTTGGATAATTAACCTGTCTTTGCTCCGTTTTTATATCCTTAAAGAACAAATAAATTATTACAAATTAATATTAATGGTCAGTTAAATTATTACAGGTATTTGTAAATAACATTATTTTCTTAATCGGTTTTTAAGTAAAAAAAAAATTTGAGTTGCCATCAGCATGATTGATTCATTTTCGGTTTGCTAGTTATAAGTTTCGTACCGCGTTAACGTGTAGTTGTATCTTAACTTTTAATGTTCTTTAGGATAAGCTTGTGTATATGTATTTTGATATTGAAAGCCCAAGTAAGTATTAATCTTCGTTAAGTTAAATATTGATTTTGTAAAGCTTTAAATTTTTATTGTTAATTCTTTGTATCCATGTGTAAAGTGGTGGTACGATATTTCCATAAATCAAAGTATTTTATTAAAAGCATCGCTCTGCAAGTGCTTCTTACTACTTCATTATTTGCGCAAAAAATATAACCTTTGTCCTTCCTTGTTCACTGTTTGTGTGTATTACCTTTGCTTTGCTCAGTGACATATACTTATCTTCGCAAAAGACTTTAGACTTCTGGGGTAAAGGATTGCCGTTAAGTATTACGCGGTCTATAGTTGTGTAAAAGTTGTAATTATTTATCCACCAGGCATCAATATTTCCTTTACTTTTCCGCTATCTTCTAGTTTTATTTTTCGTTTCGTATACAGCGTTGGAGTTAACTCTGATGATCACGTGCTTTATACCTGTCCAACATTTTGCATTTCTTCTCTGAACGTATAAATACTTCTCCCTCTACCAAATGAATTAATCGCTCCTCTTTTCCTTCATCGGGTTAAGAGTTCGTTTCTAGGCCCTCGACAAGTCTTTAGGTCAAGGTCTAACCTGGGGTCTGTTCCTTTAAGTTTCCTGCGCAGCAAGCTCAACTGAATTTTCGGAGAGTACTATTATGAACTTAAGAGGAAATTCTATTCCGTACCTTGACGAGAAAGGCAAGCAAGGTTTCCTTGCAATGAACTCTAAATGAATGTGATCAGGTTTGAAACGGGTAGAGATCAATGCTTTCAAAACAGTACGCCCGTGCAGCCAGAATCCTCACACTCTCCTTTGGTGATCAGGCTATCAGTCACCTACCTACTCACCAAAAGTATAAAGGAAAATCGACCCAAAGTCTATTCTACTTTGAGCACAGACTGCATCGCTTAAGCCTCTCAGGCCACCCAGGTGTACTTAATTGAGCAAGCGGTGAACATGGTTGCCTCACAGTATTCTACATTGTTCCAGAGGGGTCTTTATCAATGACGAGGTTAAATTTGGATGCTTTTTTTAGCGGTCTACCCGACAAATACTCCAACATCATTGATATCAAACTCCCAAACCGGGCCTTCTTTTCCGAATGCTTTTACGGCGATTTTTGATAAAGAACTTAACACGACCAACCAGGTTGACAATGTGAAACTCTGCTTGCCGTTGGGATGAGACGTAATAGAGACACGAGAAAAAGGGGAGAGCGAGGAGAGGGAGATCTTTTGTTACAGAGATGTACTGGGTCTGTAAAAAAAAGTTTCTTGAAGTATCCTTGTACGAAGTGCTCGAGATCAGGACACGCCCCAGCTGATTGCCAAACTAATAAATCTGTTGCACTGTCCCTTTTAAAGTTGCTTCGGGTCGAAAATGTAGTGATTTTTGTTTAAGGCCAAGAGTAATCACTGACAGTGTCGTAAGCCTCAATAAACCCAACGATTATACGCCCTTCCAAACTCTACTTCTTAAGCGGAAATTAATAACGATGGCTAACGGAACCTTATACATGCAACTCATAGGGAATAGTTAAGATCTTATATGAGGAACTAAAAGACTATTTATGCAAGGTGATTAAGGTAAATATACTCGCCCGGTAATAAACTTAACAGCAGTAGCTATGACATACACTCCAGCTAGGATGGCACAGGAATTATAAGCGAAAATGGTGAGGATCTCTCCATTGTAATTAATGAACGCTAGTGGAAATCAGTAATTTCATTGGTTAGCCCATACTGACGTTCCCTTGGTGCTTTAGCACAGGCGCCTTGGACATACTGCAGAGCGTTTTGCTACTAATATGTTCAAGAAACAATACCGCCGATAATTTAAATATTACGGGCACCGTTAAAGCTACTATCTGTAAGTGTTGCTAGATATCTAAAGCACGACCCAAACTTGAAGCACGAAACTTAGAAACTATACGGGTTACTTATCCTGAAACAGATGAAAATGCACCATTTGCTACACCATCTCTCTGATACGCTTGGCGATACTACCATACCTTCTGAAGACTCAACTCCAAGTACAGCTGAGGATCCAAAAACGCTGAAGTAAACATTGCGTCGCGCCGAGCCGATGTTTACTAAAGTCTTGATAAAAGATGTAAACTTAAGGCTACAACCTTATGCACCTATGAGACTGCGCTTTTTATTCTATGCCTTATTAGGCAATGCCAGGGAGGTACCAGAACCCAGATCATATCGTAAAGCCTTGAAATGGCACTGATTAAGACCAATGGATAAAGTCCATTGAGCATAATTTAGCGAACATGGAAACCTGCTTTCCTACCAGCTGGTCACAAGAATATTGACTGCAAATGGTTCTTCAAAGTGTAAAGTAATGCTGATGCTCTTTCAAGTTGTGGGGTATAGCTCTGCTATCTCAGTTTTTACAACCGCTAGCCCAAAGAAAACCATATACTTCATAGAATTTAACTTTTTTTCAGCGTTTTTCATGCTGTTACTCAACCATCGTTAAAAAATGGTGTCAGCTAATTAACACTGAGATTAAAGCGTTCACACCTGTTATGTATTCCTTCTTTGTCGGGAGTGTATGATTTCCATTAAAATTACGTAGTCATCAACGTATACTCCACTGCTCATTACACCTTTTTAAATATTAAATGCATTCTTCAACTCTACTTCTTTCGTAGTCGTGTATGTGAAGCCTTTAAGTGGAGTCTATAAATAAAAGTTGTGTCATACGAAGCAATATTAAGTTAAAGTGCATTTACAACATTCCCAAAAGTAGTCTTTATTTTTTAATATAAACCACCTAAGCCCGTCAAACACAGAAAGTGCTTAATTTAATAGTGTTTAATGTTGTTTATATTTATTCTATAACTCATAAAAAAATCCGAGATGTATAAATCTATTTAATGTTAAGGGTAAAGCAGCTTTTCCAAGCACTTTTATTTATTTGTTTTAGTTCAATGAGTTCGCTTCCATTAGGTTTATTAATTAAATTCTTTAATGATTTTAATTTTAAAAATAATTAATATTCCATTCATGAGTTTATTTTACGACTAAACTTGTAAACCTCTGGAGGAGAGTAACAGAAAGAAGTTGCAATGTTCCTTTCTAGGGATGCAAGAGCCAATGTCTAAGTTATAAGGCGCCACCCTAAAAAAGAGATAGTAATATAAAGCTAATTCAAGGAAAGAGCGAAGCAACCGTGCTCCCATAAATATTTTTATTCTAAATAAGATTTCCTTTCTATAAGTACTATTATAAATACTAAAATGTTAAATTTTAAAAGGTTTGAGTAACCAAAAATAATTCGTTTTCAATTGTTTTTTGATAGCGAGCTGTTAATATATATCTATGGTGCAACTATTTATGTAAAATCTAAAAGTATAAAGAAAAATGAAAGATGTAATAAATACTTTATACAATATACTGCAAAATTCTTATACAAGTAAAACAGCGCAGTGAAGTGCAATTTTATTTATCGAAACGGTAACGAGCTAAAATATGTTTTTTAAAAAAGTAGTTCACGAGAAACAAAAAATCGTATATTTTATTTAATTATATTAGAACATGTTTTCTGATGCATCAAATTTAAAATAAGCGAATGGTGGCTTCGCGTGAAGGCCCAACGCCGATCCACTGGACTGAATATGGGGAATATGTTGATATTAGCAAGTATATTATAAAAAATAATTTTTAGTTAATTTATTATATATTCTAATTATTATTACTTAGTTCCCTATTATTAATAATTTATTATATTATATATATTAAAAAAAACCCGGAACACTCAGCAAATCTTCTACTTTCTTTACGTAAAGTTTTGCATTTTCTGGTAATTCTTCAAACTTACGACAGTTACTAATACTTTCCTGCCAACCTTTTCACAGTATTATAAGAAAGAAGAAAAGGAAGAAGAAAAAGAATACCGGCCATCTCGATATACTCAACATCCACTTTTGAAAGTAAATTGATGTCAGAAGGGAATCCCTCGATAACATTGCCGTGAAGTTTATAGGAAACTCCAATTTTTATAGTTTCAAAAGTATCCAGAACGTCCAGCTTCGTTAGCATTATCGAGCTGAAGTCATTAACCTAAAAAATAAGTCATAACAAACGGGTAAATAGTAATATTAGTAGTATATGCAAATATAATAAATACGTTATTACTATAGGGAATAAGAAGATAAGAGAAATAATTGTGTAAATATATTTAAAGCCCAGTAGAAAGCATATGTAACCAAGAGCACTAATCAAACTAATTAAACAGTAAATTCTCATAACTAATTGGACCACGCTAACTTACATAAAAGAAATAAACTTTACTAAACCATAAAAGCCAATAAAAGGGATCTTCATTTACCAATTTGTTGCCACTATACTAAAAGCAAACTAAGCTTATTATAAGATTCAGGATTAACAAATCCAAAGGCAGTATTTCAAAAATATCCAGTTACAAGAAAGTTCCAATTCAAGGTAACAAAAACGCATAGAAAGAACCATGTGGGCGTACTTCAAAACCACCAAATCCAGCCAACCACAGCGTCGTGTCCTTCCAGTCGTTACTCCAACTTCACGGCCTAATAGGTAAATAACAAGGAATCAACCATAATGTAAAAGTTCTCCTGTAGATTTTTAATCATTCGATTCGATGATAGCAAGAAATATCTGATTTGTTTATTTACAAACTATTAAATTTATTATATCTTGTAACTACTGAAAGCTATTGTTATTATTTTTATATTTAATAGCTATAAAAAGAGCGTTAACGTATATAAAAGCTAAAAATTATAAAACAACAATTATACAAAAAATATTTTACTTTATAAAGAAATTCGTTTTTAAAATGCTTAACTAGTTTAGCTTCAAAATTTATTATAGTCAATGAACGAATAAGAAACAAAAATGCGTTGCAGGTCACGCGGCATGTGCACGTAAGTTCATAAAGACAAAAGCCGATAACAACAACCTACACTTAACCACCCATCGACTAACACAAATAAACAAGATCCCTTTATTAGCCCACAATCAACAAACATAGAACCCGAATTGTTACCTGATTTTTATAATAAATTGGTACAAAAACGACATTGGTAATCAAAAAAAAATCTCCACTATTTGGTAGAAAATATTCCAAATTACAAAATAGTTATGAGTCAGGTAATTCGGCGGGCGCTAAAGAAAACTCAACCTAATGAAATATTAATACCCTGATTGGTGCATGCCAAACCAACATATATTGTTTTAAAGCTGACTGATACATATACTTCAACACAATAAAGAATTGGACAATAAAAACATGGATTTTAAAAAATAATGTAAAAATTAAATGAAAAATAAGCCAATAAAATATTTTTCAACTTTTCGTAAGTTAAAACTGTTAAGTTCTACCAATAATAAAGCTTAAAGTTTATTCAAACTAAACTAAACTATAGAACATTACTATGATATAAGATAAAATAATAAAAAACAAGTAGACATAGAAAAAGAACGTCACCAATTTGCTGAAGTTTCTCTCCAATCACATTCACCTGTTCTGTAGGAAACTTGCCTCCCCCAACACGCGTTGTGTAAGACTTTACGACTCCTATAACTTTACTGATTTTTGTAGGGGGAATGCCGAGCCCTAAACCAAATATTAACAAGAAAATAATAAGGATATATAACAGAACTTCGTAAGTATAATAAAGTCTAATAGATGGTAAAGTATAATATAACAAGTTTTATAATATATTTAAGATATATAGCTATGCATATTGAATAGAAAATATTATATAGTACATATTGCTTATATATTAAATTAATAATGCTAATATTATTGAATATTACAATAATAATATAACTTTTATTATAAATTAAAATAATAATCTTTAATGAACTTATATGATTATAAATGTTCTTTAAAAAATAACATCTATAGTCCTTTTTAAAAAAGAGAGCACTAATAATTATAATAATCACCTGTGCAGGCCCCGCCCACTGAGCAATTGGAAGAAGTAACAAAGGGATAAGTGCCAAAGTCCACGTCGAGCATGTGCGCGTTAGCGCCTTCTATCAGAATCTTCTGGGCTTTAAAAATTTATATTATTAACTAAGAGTAATATTTTTTGCTTATTATAACACTTTTATTTATATATTTCAATGAATTTTCTATAAATGAGCTTATTATGTATAACATTGTTCAATTGGTAATGACTTCTCAAAAATATTAATTTTTTAAATCCTATCAAAATTCGAATAAAAATTTCAAATAAATAATCCCGTTTTCTATTCGTCAACAAATTCATTATGTTTCTAGCATGCTTGGTATTTTGGTTATTTTAAAATATATTTATTTAATTTTAGAAATTTTATATTTGTAAATTTTTTTCTACATGTTTAAAAAATTAAAAGATAACATCTAATATTTATTATAATGTAAACCGATTCTGTTTTTTAAAAAAAAAAATTCTTCAATAAAGTTTTAAAACATTTTTTTTCTTAATAATAAAATAAAAAATAATATTATAAAATACAAATAACTTCTATATGAATATTCATTTTACTATAATTTGAAATTTGTAAAGTAAAAAATAATTATTCTTAATTATATTATAATACTTTGAAATTACTTTTTTGTTATATTTTATTAAGAAAAGAATAATAAATATATGAAACAAACTGTTTGAAAGAACGGCGTTATTAAGCAAAACAATTGTATCCCTCACAAGCGGGCGTAGTTTACTTGAAAGTTTCTAATTTTTCCACATTTAAAATATATAATAAAATATTTTATGTAAAATAAAAACAAAAGAAGAATATATAAACAAATATAAATATACTATTAAAAAAAAAAAGTAATATATAGAACGCTCGTATTAACACTTTTGCTCAGTTAAGTGATAACATAAACGATAATCATATCCACAATAACAATAAATAGTAAAACTTCTTTTTACTAAAAAAGTTTTCCTTATAGAAAATACAAATTAAAAGATAAGTATAACTTTGCATAACTGCAGTTCCTCCTCAACATCCACGTGAATTCCAGGATAAGCTCGTGTGTAGTGCTGTGCAAGGGCGCGAAACCGCCTCTCGAAATAATCAAAATCTCCAATCAAGTCACACACACGCAAGTTTTGTCGAGACTATAAAAAAAAATACTTTTCATTATACTCATAGTATACTACTACTTTTTACTTGTTTATTTAATATTTTATATATAAACTTTACTATTTAATGTTTTTATTATTTTCGTATAGTTTATAAAATTCTCTACAAAAATATGAATTTTTTTGTTGCCTTCTTATAAAAAAACTTTAACTTCCCACGAGTTAATAACCAATAAAAAACACTCTCTTTTTGCAGACTGTAAACTTTACAAAACTAGTAAAGACCTGAAAGCTCATAGAAGCACATGAGGGTGCTTTTAAACTATAAAATCATGTGGTTCTTCAAGCTCAGTCAATAAACAGGAGCTGGGGTCGGATAAGAAAGATGATGGTCACGCTACGACACGTGAATGCCTGCCTTATATAATAAAGAAAAGTTTACTCTCTAAAAAGAGCCAAGCCCTACCACGTGACAATCCTCTTTAATCCTCACCCACGTGCCCCACAGTTTTATCAATGCCGACCCAAAGCTTCTAATTGGTTACTAAAACTTCACAGTGAAGTGCAGTATAATGATATAAAAATGTCATAAGAAAAATTGAATATTTAAAAAACTCAAAAAAATTGTTTTGGCTAAAAACAAAACTTTTTAGTGGCTGTATAACTTTATGTAATGTTTCATTCGTCGACTTATTTTACAAGGGTTTGTGTTATGCTTTTCATTATATTAAGTTTTCTTAAGAAATACCACGAGGCCTCTGGTTGTAGGGGCCACTAAAATTGCGCCAACAACTGCTTTTTTATTTAATATTATAATTCATTTCAGTAAAGCACCACGTGGTTTCCGGTTGTTGGGATCACTAAAAAAATTGCCAATAAATTTTTTCATCAATACTCCCCGAGGATAAATGCTATATAAATATAATGGCTCTTGCACGACGTTCTATTTAGTATTTCATTGGTATACTAGCGTTGGGGGATTGACGCTACCCAAAAGCCTTTAAAATTATAGCCTTCTCTACTTTATGATAGTTTATAGTTTAGTAAATACCGCTATACTATTCTATACTAAACCAATTACTGTTTATAATATACTTTATAATAAGTTAATATTTTTAACAAAAGTTTATATTAAACTTTTCTATAATAATTATGTTATTGTTCATATACAACATTAAAAATTTTCATATGATTAATTTTCTTATAAGTCTTATATAAATCAATAACACGTAAAATATTATTTACCAGTAAAAATAATAATAGTTGTGCGCAAATTAAAATATTATTGTATAAAAAAATATTTTAAATAATATTTAATAAAAAATTATTTTAAATATGATAAATAGTTATATATATATATAAAAAAAAAGCAAAAAAGCAAAAATATCAACAATAAAAAAAATTATTTATATAAAAATATTCAAAATTCTATTAATGAAAAGTAATAATTGTAAAGAAATTTATGAAATAAATGCAAGTTAAAAAAAACAATTTAAAAAAGTAATTAAAGCTTAGAAAATATTAAATCAACTATTCGCTACAAAAGTAATAAAAAACGTTGGGAAAATTAAATCTAAATTAAAAATTCACATAAGTAAAAGTTTATAAGTAGAAAACAACATATACAAATAAATAAATAAAAATAATAATTTATAATTTTTCTACTATAAAACAAATAAATTGGTAAGAGTTAATAATTTAAAAAAATCCAAATAAAGAAATTAAGAAATACGAACTTACAATAATAAAATTAAACATGTTATGAATATTATTAAAAAAATAAAGTAAACAAAATTAAATATACAAAAAAAAAAATAATAAATAAAAATATATACCGGTTATAATTGGTTATTACAAAAAAGTAATCATCAGTTAATATATAACTAATCTCAAAATGTTTACAAAATAAGTATATAGTAAAAAAAATTATAGTTTGTATAAAAAATTTTACCCAAGAAATTCCATAAACTTAAGACTTACTATTTCTTAAGCCTATAAATTTTTATAAAATTACCTGAAATAAATAGTAAATTTTTACTTAAACTTTAAAATATTTTATCAATTATATAAAATAAAAAAAATTAAATATTTAATTTCATAAGCTAAATAAAAAGTAATATTTTAAATTAAAAAAAAAATTTAGAACCAATTTAGAACTGTAAGAAGGGCCGATGCCTTTACCAGTTGTACCGATATCAGCGCCGGAAATCCTTTTTTCGGCCTCCTGATGACTGTCGACTACTCGATGCATGGAGAACACAAGATGCGCCCGATCAGAAATAATGAGTCTGCTTTCCCAGCCTTCAAAATAAAAAATTCAAATTTATTATATTAATTGAGAATAAAGTTTATACTATTAGTAAGAAATGAAAAAGCGTAACCCATCTCGCTATATGCTATTTAAGTTAAGATTGAAATAAAAAGTTCTTTAAAAAGAAATGTAAAAGACGTATAAATAACTACACTATATATAACTTTGTTACTAAAATATTTAGTAACACTCAAAATTCAAACAGCAACAGTAAAAAAACCTGTTAAACCTTTATGTTCATTACTTTCAATTTCAGCAAATAAAGATTCCACATTAAGAACTACACCATTTCCAATAATGTTCAAGCAAGAATTATGGCAAATTCCACTTGGGAGCAAATGAAAATCATATGTAACACCGTCAAAAACAACTGTATGACCCGCATTATCACCGCCCTATTATACACAATACAATGAGTAGTGTATTCCTTTTAAAAGACAGTATAAGAAAAAGAGGAACCACCTTTTCTAAAAATTTTAACTTCTACGACAAAATATTTTAATATTATACTTTCAGTTGTTGTAGTATAACAATGTAGAATATAAACAAGGTACACATAAGATACAGCGCAACGAGCTATAATGTCGCATTCGGAGGCTAAAGTGTCTACAAGCTTTCCTTTTCCTTCGTCTCCCCACTGAGTCCCTAAAACTACACACACATCACCAGGATTTAACACGGGGACCATTCTTTGGAAGAAGTAAGTTAATCAAAAACAATAATTGTTACTCACACTTTTGTATTGCACTTAAAATAAAAAGCAGCATCGTTAACGATTGGTTGTAATTTTAGTTTAAGGCACATTGGCACGTTAAAAAAAACGTTTGTTCGGAGAAAGGTCAATGTAGTAAACGAATATCATTAAATCTATAGGACAACGATATCTTTTGAAAATACATTACCTTTCACGTTAGGTGCACATATGACATTATCAAGTATTTAAGCTTTATTTAAATTTCTTTATTTACTGTACTCCCTTAATTAAATGCTAGGGCCGTCAAGTCTTATAGCATTTAGCTATTTATTGTGTTTATTTCACTGACTAATAGTTTTATAAACTAGTATAGATAAAAGGTATTATATATATTAATTTTCAAAGGACTAAAAGTAACTGCGATAATATATTTGATAGTCTTTAAATTCCCCGAGAACCTAATCACCTCAGAAAGGGCGAGCAAATATAGTATAATAGTAATAAAAAGCTAGACACACTTGCCTTTTCGCTTATACACTACAAAAATATGTCTTCTAGCGAAAACCTCTCACTACATAAGCAAAAGATTTGAAAAAAAGTAAAACTAAGTAGTGTAACCATCTGGTACTTAAAGCGAATTCATTGGGTAGAAGGCAATCAAGACCTAGTTTTTCCATAAAGAATATCTCAGAATTTTATAAAAAAGAGCTGCTTATTTAAGCAGACCTTAAGAGCTTTAGGGTTATTACTAGAATATATGCGGAGAACTTTTACAAGGAAGGTGTTAGCTTCTAGCATTTAATAATAGTAAGAATAGTTCTAAGAAAAATGCTAGCTGTGGCCACAGAAATTCCAAAAACATTTAACGTTAAGTTTATTAGGTCATACAAACTTTTACAGTAAATATACTAAAATATCTATCTATCGTCATACTATTTTAGCAAAAATATTATTAAATTATAACTCATATTTCCATATAGTACTTTGTATCTTGTATAGTAGTACAATGTAAATTGTGTCTAAGAGAGGCAATGAAAGCTAATTAATGATATTTTTAAATATTAATTGGACATATTTGAAATTTTTAAGCGAAATTTAACTATGGTATTAATCAGTATTTGAAAAGGTATAAGTTTAAATGTTTACTCTATTAATAAGGTTGGGATGCCCATAGTTTTCATTTATTTTTTATTGTGTTTGTGATTTAATATTTTGTGTTTATACGTTGTTAATCAGCTTTTAGACAATATGTAAAAGAGGCGATAACTGTTCAAAGAATAATTTTTTCGTAATAGATGGGGTCTGCATAAGTGCCCACACTGAGCATTACGCGCTGTGCGTGCATTGTTAGCGGACCTTTGACGGATGGAGAAACCGCAGAAAAAAAGTTCAAGTTGTGTTTAAAAAATTTAGCAGTAGAGATTCTACTCAATGCGGATACTCTTCCGAATATTTACCACCTCTAACTTGAAGATGGGAGACAACCGCTTTTCCCAGTAATCTATGTACATATGCATTAGGACCAGGGATATGGTTGCTCTTTCCCTTGACGGAATACGGGGTGATGGTCACAGGCCTGCCTCGACGTAAAATGATCGGCTCGCCACAGGTATTGCGAAGGACGCCTTGTAGTGTCCGTTTTATAGCAACTGATTAGAAAAATATTGTATTCTTTCCTCAAGCAGAAGCGCTATGATAACGGGATATTAATGTGTGGATGCTGTGTATGTAATGCTCCTGTCTCATTAGCTATTATTTGTCTACCTAGCACGCATATATATATATATATAACATTTTACTCTTACTAGCAGTCATAAATCTCGATGCTGGCAGGTGCCAAAGCATATTTTAGCTATACTATCATGCAGGATTGTTTTTAACTGTATATGCTAGTAATGCCTTATATTTCTGTTCTTGTTTTATTTAACAAAATACATTTGAACCACTTTCTGTAACTTCTCTTACTTATCGGTGTAGCTCCCCGCCACCTTCATAAAGCATTTCATGAGATCTCTTGACTCTTCAACCAAAAATACTGTGAGGTTAGCACCGCTATTTAACCTTACTGTCAGATGCAAGCCAAAGGGCTAGTAGATAGTTAGTTTATTGCGGTGTTTTAGGGGTTGTAAAAAAGAAAGATTAATTTTTTAAAATATATATAACTCTGTAACTGTGAAAGTTATAACGCAATCAACTGCCCACTCGCATGGTGTTGACGTTATGAAACCGGATTTTAACCACGAGCACATAGTCCAAATCCCTGACTGAAACTATGTGCATTTCTCGGAAATCACTTTTATATCTGGGAAAGGATTATTTATTAGTTGGGCAATAAAAGGCTATCTACAATATGGAACTATGGAGTTCTTGGCACGTAGGGGGTTTCCCTAGTGCTCTGCACCTTCTGGCTGGTAGTGATAGCCACTGCTTTCTATTCGTTTCCTTAGTACTTTTATAATATAAAAAGTTTTTATCCATTATTTCCTCTACGAGCGAGTTAATTTTAACAGTAACGAATAAACAAGATTGAGGGGAACTAGGCTAGTTATAACCAAAGTAAAGATTATAACGTTTTATAGAGATAAAAAGCGCGAAAGTAACCGCATTAGAGTAATAATAATTCAGAAACTTGATGAGAAAGTATAAAGCAAACTAATAGTAAAACAAAGAAAAAAAAGATAAGCAGAAATTATGAAAAGAGCAATTAGATTAAAATAAAACTATAGAAACATATAGGAAACGACTGTGAGCCAAGAAAAAAAGATAAAAACAGTAGCAACGTGCTTTAGTATAAAGAATATAACAAAACCTGTGACCCACAGAGGGGAGCTTGCTAAACCCATCCAAGCAACTAAAGTGCTCGTGCCTGCCAAATTAGGTACAAGGTGTACTACAGACCCTTCCGTGGATTATAAGACTAATAGCTATGTTAGCTGGTTTTTAAGGAACATTGGTGTTTTCCTGTGGCTGCCTCTTTCAATATTACTTTTCTTTATTCGATTTTCCACCGCTCCAGATTAAGTGACAGTTTCTCAGTCCCTCTTTATAATCTATACTTGTTTGAGTGAATACATTAATTAGCATTCGTACCTTTATTGAGATAAAGCATGCGTTGGGAGGACAAGTCAGGGAGCGTGAAAACAGTTATACTGAGATTTTACACATCTTTGGAGCGGGTTATAAACTTCACTTCCCGTAGTTCTCCCGAATAAAAAGCTATTGAGCCTAATTTGCAAATAATAAAAGGGTAGAATACTTCCTTAACGAAATTGCGCTTAGTCGCACTACTTTTGCTCACGCGCATATTATTAATTGACGAGGTATAATTAATCGAATTGAACCCTTTAAAATATTTTCGCAACTTTGATAGTTTATTTATTGTTGGCTGTGCATTTACTCGTAATATCTATAATTTGGCGCTTATTTACATTTAATAAAATATTAAAACTTTGTAATATCCGAAAGATATTGCAAGCAACATTTTAAAATAAAAAAAAACTGTATTCTAAGGTAAAGTTTTTTTTTTTCGTCTAATATTATGCTGGTCTGAATTACAACAACTGCCCATGTTATATCCTTTTAGATGTTTTAACAAGAATTTGTCAACTTACTATATATATTTTTACTTAATACTAAAATTAAATGAAAATTAATGTTAATCCGCCAATTTTTTTCAGTAACCATTGTTAGTTCTAAAAGTTTTTTTTTTTTAATATATACTTGTAGAGTGATTAAAGTATGAACTTTAAAATAATATGAATGTATATAAGTATCAAGTAAGGTATAGCCCATTAAGTCAGTCTACTAAAAGACAGATGCAGGCGCACTAAGAAAATCCCCCTAATTTTTAAATTGCAAATTGTGTCCACTATATGATTAGCTTCATAACCAGGAAATGGAAATAATTTCCAGACTTGGTCGCCACCAACCAGATTTAACCAAGCGCTAGTGTTGTACACATTGCCAAAAAGGTACATGGGAACATTTTGCATTATGCTTGCGTGGGTTGTGTTGGGTTTCACGCATATTTTATGTTGATGAGTTGCATTATTTCATAGTTGTATATCATTACTTCACTTTTTTTTTTAAGTTATTTTTTTCATTTTTTTATTATTATATTTTCAAGAGAAATAGACTTATATTCATTAATTTTTTAAATCTTTTTTCCACGACGGTCATACAGTATTTATACACTTCGATTTAATTATCCTTTTTTTTAATATTCTGAGGTGACGTTTCTTATTCGTAAAAAACTTTTTTTTATTATAATTTGTACTTTACAATGATTTGTTGTAATTCTTAGTTAATTTTTTTAGACACGACATAAACAAACTTTTTGCCTTCATCCACTTTCTAATCTTATCTTTTTTCTAAATTATTTGAAATTAATAATGCTGAATGCGTAGATGCTATTGTTTAAAGATGCTTTAGACTTAATAAAATTGGTAATTTTCCTTCCATTACAAAGTGCAAAGCAAGACGAGCAGAGCGTGCTTATGAAAATAAACTTAACAGAACTGTAAAAGTAAATTAAAAAGGCTGACTTGTTTTTAATTTACTTTTTTTCAAAATTGAACTTCTATTTATTAATTTTATTGGTATATTAAAAAAAACTACAAACAGAAGGAAGCTTTATTAATTACAGAAATTTTGTTCAGGTTTATCACATATTTTATTTCTATAAATCTGGGCCAACCATCTTTCAAATCTAAAAGAAAATACTTACAAATAATAAGGTAAGGTACTAAAGGTTACACTCTTTCTTCGAGCTCGGCTTCAACTTGTCTTCTATAAATCATTGCTCTAGCAAACTCATCCAGTTTCAGCTAATTTCAAGATGGAAAAATAAAATATTATAATTATTAAATATTTTACTTTAGAAGCTTCCAAGTCAATAAAGCCATTAAGATGGCCCAGAGAATTATTGTAGGGACCAAAATCCATCTAGAAAAGTTCAGTAAAATTTAAAAGAAATAAAGTTTGGCTAACTTTCATTTAAGCATAAATAAACGAACGCTTTTAAGTGAAAGGCCCGAAGCAGGTGCTAACTCCAAATTCAATTTCGCTATAAAATTTTAAAAATAACTAAATATATTACAAACTATTTTTGTAGAATACCAGGAGTAAAAGAAAAATCTACATCGCTCTCACTCAGGATCTTTTGAAGAACACAAACAACCGCTCCTTTTTAAAAAGAGAGATCCTTTAAAATTTTCTTATAAACAATTTAAAACACAAACCAATTATGTAACGAATTTGATGGTACATAAAACTTTGTCCGGAAATTTCTAATTTAACAAACTCCATTCCTCTTACTTTAAAGTTATCAGCTAACTATAAAAAAAAAATTAAACAATATATAAAATATATAGCGATAACGCACCATAAAATTTTTTATATAACGAAAAGCACTGGGATCACCAAATTCTTTTTTTTTAGTATAATTATGAAAGCTTTTTGTTCCTGTAAATTTTAAAAGCAAGCGTCGAATCCTAATTATTTGATCCTGAATATAATAATTATTTATGAGACTTCTTTATAGCATCTTAAAATAATTAAAAATTATTATTATTAAGCAACTTGAAAGTTGAGTAATTTATTTTCAAAAATTTAAAACATTAATTTAAAGATTTAAGTACGTGCGAACTTCGGATAGGCTATAATTTCTAACGAAAGACTCAAATGATTTTTTGCCTGCTGAAAGTTTATCAAGCGCAGGAAAAAATGCAAAACTGGGGAGAATGTAATTGTAGACGCGCTGAGCACAGTAACATCTATTGAACCCTTTAGTAACACGAAGTACTTGCATAATGCGTATATCTGGGGGCAAACAGTGATTAATTTCCTCTAATAAAGAATCTACAAGAAAAGTTTTTTTTTAAAAATTATTCAAGTAAAACAGCAAAGAAGCCCAACCGCGATACAAAAGTTTACAAACAACAACGTTAGCTCTTGCGCTAACGCCTTTATCTGTGCGAGAAATTGTTTGAAAGCAATTCTATTTAATAAAATAAGTTTACATTTAGAGTTATTAAATGATATAACAAAAAAAACCTTTTGGACAAAATCTTCGCTATTGCTTTCCAAAATAGCACCGCACTTTACGAATGCTTGCTTTAATTCAGAAGAAATGGTGTTAAACTCTTTTTGACTTTCATATAAATAAGTTAATATTTTAATAATTGCTTAAAATTTTTAAATAAAAAATATGACTATTGCAAGCCGTAATAATTTGTTCCAACATAAGAGAGGACTAAGGCCACCTATATTATTAAATAATAATATATAAAGAAGTTAAAAAAAAAAGTAATTAAAACTTTTTTTTTAGGAAGGGCTCGAATGTTATGAGAAAGAAGCTCCTTGTAGTGAATGCTTTTTCCACTGGCGTAGGTTGCCAAAGAGCTAAAAAAAGAAAGACGGATAATAACGGTAAATGCTTTAAACTTTTTAGGACAAAGAATGAATTTCATTTCTTTTTAGGCTACCACACGTAGAGTGGGCCCTTATTTTACAACAGTATGAACAGTTTGGCTAACCCCCATTGCTTTTGTTATATCTATTTAATGTTGTTTCCGTGATCCTACGCGCCAGCTAAACAGACCTTTCATAAGGTTAGTAGCGTAATAAGGCTTAGCTTAAATTAAGTACACTTTCTATCTAAATTTCTTTTTACTTATCGTTCTAACTTAACCTCGAACATCATAAAAACTCGCATCCCGCAGACAACCATAACTTAAGCCGTTTCACTTCTCCTGAGTTCACTAGTACACACCCTGTTAAATTATGGGTTTGTTTGGAAGGAATTTGTAGATAAAATTTAATATCGAAAATGAAAGTTATCGTTCTAGCTCAGCGTACTGATGGTCACTTCTTATGTTCCTTTCGGTCACCTCTGGGCGTGTGTAACTGTATCAATGGTGGTTGACTCGCTTCTTATAAAAGTATTTTTTGAAGGAAAATTTTTTGAAGGTATAATTTATGCCTTTTGGCAACGGGCTGGAAACTTACAAAAAAAAGTAGGCACAGAAACATTTAATAAACTATTACTGATTATACAAGATTATGTATACATAGGGATTGTACAAATTTAAGCAGTACAAAATTGTAGGCAGAAGAACAATAATAGCCCCTATAAGACCCCACTTACAGACACATGAGGCAATTCATACATCAGGTTAGTACAACTTAGACTTAATTTGTAAAAATTAAAAGGAATTGCTTTGCAAGGATATCACTTCCCAAGGGATTGCCTTTGATTATTTTATGTTTTTATTATTATGTTTATAAATTTTAAATAAACAATTTATCAGTAAACTTAAAACTCATGGCATGGTGATAACATACATTCTTCAGTTTTAATTTGAAAAAATCGAAAATATTAAAAAAAGATCTGGTCATACAAGGCAGTCAAACTGTTTTAAAGTGTTAGGCATAGCATACATACAAAAGTAGCGTAAAAAAGTCGTTTTATCTTAAAATGAAGTGTGTGGAAAACGATATAACACTTACGCACAAATATAATTAGTAAAGTGTTATCTGTAAACTTAATTCCGGCTTATACGAAGGCATCTATAATAAGGAGTTTTGAGTGTATTTATTTAATTATACTTGTTGTATACATATATGATTATCATTTAATAAAGTCATAAGCCTTATACATTAATTTTATCACAGTGTGAATACTCTCCTTTAATAAATTTGTAAGCAGTCAGTTATTTTAATTTTGTTCGAAAATTTATTTATTATTTATGAGGATTAGTGTATATACTTATTACTACCAAAAATAACACTATTTATTATATATCACTATTGGTTTATATTTATTAAATAAAATATACGTAGACTGGGAATTCTTGAAGTTTAACGTAACACAATGTCTCGCTATGAAAGGTGTGCAATTGTTTTTTTTTTTTTACCTTTTTATTTCACTTTTAATTTGTTAATAATTCTTTTTAAATTTTAAATTCTGGGCGTCTTAAATACTGATAGTATTCAATTACCTTTTTTTAGAATGCCTTAGTTATTTGAAAACTGACTACTTACAATAAAACTTTTACTTATATTTAGTATATAACCACCAAGCTACGCCTTAATTATTTTTTAATTATAGTTTAAGTGAGAAATTAAAAATTTTGCAAAAACATGTCGAAGGCTTGAAAGAGAAAATATCCACCGCCTCGGATTTATCTGATACGGTTTTTCAGCTGTCTGTCTCGCACACTTCTCTGTAATCTCTCTTTTTTTTTGTAACTTCCTATTCACTTACTTATTTTACTATCCCTTTGATAACTTATATATAATTCAAGGATTAATGTATTTTTTTTATAAACATAGTTTCATGGCCGCCAAGGAAATAAGTTGTAAGGAAGAGAACAGCACAGAAAAAATAGAAAGTTTTTAGAGGGGATAGAAAATGCGTTGTTTAAAAAATATATAAATGATAAAATTTCTTGCTCATCTCTTTTTATAGTAGGTGTTATTAAACCCTTAAATAAAAGCTATTCACTTCCTTTGTGGATCTGTACATTAAAAAAAATCGCTATAAATATTGTAATGGAAAAGTATATATATATTTGTTAATAGTATCATAAGAGGAAGTTGCCTGGATGTTGAACTTCTGCATATAACAAGAAGCAGTATATAAGAAACTGTCTTAGCAAAGGGATTAATCCTGAACGGAGGTATAGTTTTTAAAACCTATAAAGTGGAGAATGTCTCTATTGGTTTTTTTATGTCGGCTTTTCTTCCCTTCACACCGTAACAAGCTTAGAGGCGAAAGCTTATAAAAAATATTTTATCTGTTATATAAATTAGACTTAGAACGTATGTTTTTTACTAATAGAAAGTTTTTAAATATAAATATATTTTTAGCAATAAATTCCTTTAGTTAAGGTGCATTATTAATTAAAGTTTATTCTAGTGGATCATCCAAATCTTTAAGCTCTTGTAAAAATATTTTTGAAGTTAACACGTTTGTCGAACCTGAAAATTTGTACAAATATCAGGCAAAAAAAATAAAGAAAATTTAAAAAATTGTCTACCAATCAGAACCGGTGTACTGAACATTTTAGAAATCTCGTAAACTGATCGCATTTCCGAATAGGTTATTCCGCCAATAATAAATATAACCACCTTTTCAATGTTTCTGTCTTCCGTTTGTGATATCCAGGTCTTTCTAGTTCGTTGCTATTAGAGCTCTTGTTTTTTTTTTTAAGTATATAAAAAAATTAAGAAACTTCTTTCGCCTGGACTGAGCGGCGGGTTCTGTATTACTAGTTTTAGTCGTTGGCTTTGGATCGAGATAGTTAATGCCTATGGAGGCGGAGCTGCCCTGCAACACCGCCTGCAACTCATTTTAAAATTATTTAAATCAATTTTTTTGGTTTTCATACGACCTGTGCCACATCCCACACAAAAGGCGTCCAGCGGGACGTCGAATACTTTTCTCCGGTATGTCTGCCAGCGCGTGGGAATTCTGGTGTTCCCGGGTCTTGATTAAGTATCTTTGAGACTTCTACGTTAAAAAAAAGCGATGATGAGCTCATATTGGTTGCGTCTACCTTCCCGCCCAGAAGCGGTAATGTCCTAAATATAATTCGGTCCTCGTTCGCTATATCAGCCTTGTTAAGATGCTTTTAACAATGAAAAGGAAACGCAGTGCCGCTTTGAACGCACCGAATCCAAAAGCTGCTTCAGCTCAGACTCGGAGACGCCTCGCTTTCGTAGCAAGTAAAGAAGAACGAGACGAAGTTTGTTATCGTAAGTGGTTTGGGGGTCCCTCAACAGAGGCAGGATGCACGAAAGGGTGTTCTTGATGGGCTTGTTATTAGAATCCATTTGAAAGGCAACGTTCTGCAACAAATATTGAGTTTCTCTATAGGCGGAAACGAAAAGCACGCGCCTGCTCCGCCTCGCATATATCGTGCAGGTTAGTCTTGTTTAACTCGGTCATGCACAATGCTTACGCCCGCATGGGTTAGTAGTGACCTCGCCCTTAATAGTCTAATTACCTGCATTATTATAGTGGAAGGAGACTATTTTTCCTTCTTCCTTAAGGCTCGGAAGTTTCCTCATAATTGTTGCGAGCTCTTGAGCAGAAAGCTATGACGCAAGTACTTTTACACCATCCAATAAAAAAACACTACCCCCCCTACTTTCTCTTTAGTTGGTCGATACTCCTTCTCTCTCTTTTTAAAGTCCTGCAGCAGCCCAGCGACCTTCTTTGACAGATCGGCAATGTGAAGGTGCCTGCCAATGGAGGGCACCAGTAATGACGTGTACGAAAGCAGGAGCATGGTGAGTGAGAGACCTTAAACTACACCATAATGGGTCGTTTTCGTCAAGAATGAAAGCCTCGTTGTTCGCCATTAGCATGTTGTTCTTGACGTCAAAGCACTGGAAAGAAGTTTTTCTTTAAGCAACAAGCTTAAACAAGAGGAGAGTGGTGCGTACGTCGTAAAGCATTGCCTGGTAGGTCAGCTCATGGAGAACCGGAGAGAATAAGTCCGCTCCCCTGTCGAGGATGACCAGATGACCTGCCCTTTCCTGCGCGTGTTTCGTAAGGAAAGAGCAGAACAAATAATGCACATGCGCACACCGAGGGGACCGCCCCAAGCTGCACTAAAAATTGGAGGCGGCTGTGAACAACTTCTGCAAAGGTAAGATTCTTTTCGCTACTATTCAAGTAGCCAATATACGGGTGCTGCCCTTGAAATTTACTACGGAGTGACATTAATTCAACGCAAAGTTTTATAAAGGAAGCTACCCAAAGTCGAAAACAACGTGGCTAGTTGGTCAGCAGTATACAAAGTAATACGATCGAACTCATCTTTGCCGTGCGGACTAAGATCATGTATAAAGTTCAATAATAAACTATTATAAAGATAAAAAAATTAAGAAAACCTATAAACAGCCCAAAGTCCGAGAGGTTCGTCCAAGGAAAATACTTGAGACTCAATAGCTAGATAGTAAGTATAAGAATTATTTTTAAAAAAAGGAAAGGAGCTCTTACCCAAAAAATTAAGGTTCAGCTCTAAGAAGGTTAAAATGTACTTTGAAATATTATTTATAGCTAAAAGAGTGAATAATTTCTCCGAAGTGGCTGGTAATTAGAGTGATTTAGTGCGGAGAATAATGTTAATAGTTAGATATACTATTTATGAAAGTTAAAAAAACGCAGGAATATCAGTAAATATGAAAAGACCACTAAAAAGGTTAAGTAGTTTTAAATGGCTAGTTTGTAAATCAATAGTATGAAAAATATTTCTAAGTAAAATTTTGTCCAAGTTTCTTTTCCTTGTGAATAGGATTTAAGACAAAATTTTTAAAAGCCTGCTTATAAATTAATATTTGTATATATATAAAGTACGGGTCAGTGTGAATATGTGAGCTCCCTTATAGAGGACATTTCCCGGCTTAAAATCTTCGATGAGCTGTTGGAAGGATTCGAGACAAGGATATATAATATAGATAGCTTCAAAGGTGGCAAGACGTTGCCTCTGTTGATTAAGTCTTTCAACAACTAATGAAAACAAAGGCGAGGTGGAGAATTCTGTGGGAAGAAAAAGGAGGGGGGTGTACGTTTATAAGTTATATAAAACCTGTTACACCGGAGTCGGTGAGTTCTGTCATACGTATAACCGATGATATTACGCGCGTACTATGGCTGTCTACTAGGAGAACCTTCCTTTATAATAATTATTACCAGGCTCATCACTATCTACCGTGAGTATGTACCATTTAGATTGGGGCTTGACTTTGTTAATGCAGTCGTCGAGGAAGCGCTTTTTAACTTCCTGTTTCAAGTTGTAACTCATTTGGTCTAACCGTAAGTGAAAAGCCAATTACAACAGAAGAATATTGAACATTTAATTTGGCTTTATTTTACAAAAACTAAATAGTAGTCATGTTTACCGCACGGGGATAAAATAACTTTTGAGAGTTACTAAAACATAGGAGCTTTGGAAGATCTTATCAGACCCGGTTACGTGTGATAACTACCTATCACTGGACGAATTTAGTTTTTATCTATTTAATTACATTTACCTAAAATTTCCATTATTTCCAATTTTTTTTCTGAGCCTCCATTGTAAAACTAAGTTATTTTCATTTCCGTTGTGAATATTTGTTTATACAATGATGACTTTAAATTATAGTTAAAAAGCAGTAACGTCGCTTTTCATATCTATGGAGTCACTTTTTCAACAGCAAAACTTAAACATTTTTCAGAGACCAAGAAAGATTTTACTTCCTATGTATCCTAAAATTAATCAAGTGTTATAAATTAACTACTTTTGATATAATAAATTTTCTCTTATGATGATATATGTTTATGTTAATTAATAAAGAATGCTTAGGCAGGCTTTGATGTCAATATGTATACTTTATATATTAATTATAGATCCGAATTATTTTTTTTGTATATATTAAAACATTACTCTGTAGAAGCATTAATATTAAACCCCGAAATTGACAATTAATTATCATTTATATTATATGATATTTCCTTTCATCACCCCTATTCCTTATGTAATAATTTTTATTAAAAAATGCGTAATGGTTATAAATGAGTAATACAGTGTTACATACATAAATTTGTTACGTACCCCTTTTCCACTGGCCATAATTGTTATGACAACAACATCATATAGTGCTCCTTAATACCTTATAGATTAATCCGTTTCTTAAATTATATTAATAATTTAAAGGGTTTTTACTTCCCTAACATTAGAACCTCTACAATTTTGTTACTTCAATAACATACTCCGCGCTTTTTATCTTCATAGAACTTTGAAAGCGGTTTGGTCATAACAATAACTGTTTACTTTTTTTTTTAATATAATAAAAAGAAGAAAATCTTTAAAAAATTACAATATAGTGTTGTAATAACATTTTCTATGACAGCAAGGATAAATTACTACTAGTCTTTAATAAACACAACCGGGATGCAAGATATAATAGATCAGGCTCCCACCTTATTACAATTTTCCTCACTTAAAAATTCATCTTTTATTACTATAATTAATATACATAAAAGAAATGTTTTAAAGTACTGAAATGAGGCTGTCTGAATAAACCAGCTCTATGTATAATATTCTAAAGCTTATAATATAGATGCCTTAATCGGTTTTTTATGCAAGCATAATTTTAAAAATAATCTGAATAAAGTAAAACCTAAGGGGCATAGAAACAAAAATACACCTAAAGGGAGGATTTTTACTCAACGTGAGCACACTTAGAGAAGTTGCTATGGCAACAGCCTTATTTCAGCGCTCTCTAACGTCATTAATTTAGTCCGTTTTTCTTAAATGGTAATCCAAGGGTCTCAATATAACTTGACGCCATGCCTACAATACTAACCTAGTTTAGTTGTAGTGAATATGCAGTTCAAATATTTTCTCTTCTCTTGCAGGTATATAAAGTAAACGTCTTACTCTCGAATGAAAAAAATTTATAATAAAGCTATCTTTTTGTTTTAAGTTCTTTTATTCTAGGTTATTGTTCTGCAGTCTTCTTAATTCCATTTTTACGATCTTAGTATCTTTTAGTGCCCTCGTTTAGTTTCCTTTTTCGTTTTATCGAAGCCCACGTTCTCTGCTACCTATCTTAATGGTAGTTTCTTTTATCTAACATTAGTAATTCTTTATGATTTGTTTTACAAATCACGCATTTTTGGGCTTTGTTGGTTATAACATAATAGCGAAATACCTTTTTTAAAGAGAATAAGTGCTTGGTTATAACAGAAGCAATCACCTAGTTGAACAAAATTTAATAAGATAGTTCTAGCTTTCTTTAGTGAAAAACATTGCTGAAACTTTTCGACTTGTTAAATTGTGGCTTGGTTTAAAATGTTATAAAGATAGTGCAAGTGTCGTTCATTAAAAAGACGCAGGAGTCATCTAGTCCTAGTTTAAAAGTGTAAATATATTGAAGTTAACAATACACCAGCTTTAAATAACAAAAACGAAATATACTAAACTTAAAATATTACAATGCAAAAATGCAGAACAAGTTTCATGACTATTAAAAATAATCTGGTAAAGAAGCAAACAATACAAGGAATCTAGTTAATAATAATATTTTGAATAATTTTGAAATAACAGTTTTAAAAAATTGAAATTTACAAATAACTGAACGCAAACTAGAATCCATAATTTGGTAGTGAAAGATTGTACTTTACATTTCTAGAATAAATTCTTATAGTGTGTAAAACTACGTTGAACAAAAGTTCTTGAACAATTATTTGTTTTTTTATTATTTTTGGTTAGTAATGCCCTTAGTTATTTTAAGAAAGACTCCAGCTTCAGCTATCCTTAATTTTGTGCGGAGTAACCGAGTGAATATTTAGTTCTAAACAAATTTACGTAGCGATCATTGATGCAAGTGTTAATACAACAATATTCAGCTTTTATTTAGGTAATATTCATATCTTTATATTTTGAGCTATCTTCTAATTGTAAATTACCTTGGGCAGCGTACATACATAAAAGATCCTCAAAACTCTACTGCCCGAGAATTAAATTCTACCGAACGATTGTTTTAGGAGGATCTGACGTTGGAATAGATCCTTAAGGCGACGACTTTGTAAGTGTCGATGAAATTGCGAAAAAAAAAAATTAAGCAAAGTGATAACTCCAGTAATTTCAAAGAAACCAGAAGTACCTACAAGCTGTAACCATTGTCAAAAACGGGTTTTTTTCAAGGAACAGGTTAAAACGGTGTAAAAGTGTCGTATGTGACAATTATTACTACGTAAAAAGCTGCTAAATATATATTTTTTTTTGAAAAATTATTCAAAAGTAATAACGGAAGGTATTTAATTTAGAATTTTTGTCTTATAAACAAGTTGTGAGTACCAGATACCTATCATAGTTATATATGACACAATTTAAACAATGTAATTAAAACTTAGCGACTAGTAAAGTAAAATAAGTTATAGCGACTAAAATTTAATTTTGAACTTTATTGCTTCAAAGATATTCGTCTATAAGAATAGTTAACAATCATTAATTAAAAATAAAAAACTGCGGAAGATAGATATAATTTTTATTGAGCTGTTCTATAATACTCATTAACACATTTTTTAAAAATTGATGAAGGGTTTTTGGGCATTATGAAAAAACCTACCTTATAACCCTCTAAAAACTGTTTATCACGAACTTCCGCTCACCAGCGATTTTTTTGTTTGTTTACAAGCGCAGATCGGTCATGTTTGCAAGGGCCTCTCTTAAGACTACGTTTAAAAAATTATTTTTTCGCACGTATTCCTCGACTAGTGGTTTATAATCATGAACTTGTCTTTACTTTTCTACAGCACTAGGCTAATTTTTTCTTACCTAAGAGAGTGATAATGGCTTGTCTTCTCTTTAACGTTTGCACTACTTTTTTTAAAAAAAATTCTAACATATTCAAACACTACTTCCATTCCGCCTGAAGTTTTATACTATTCAATCAACTGCAAAGTTTTTGAAAAGAATTGTCTTTCTTATATGCCCCTTTAAACAGACTATGACTTGGTTGTTCTTGGCGGGGGGCCCGGAGGGTACGTTGCTTCCATAAAAGCCGCTCAACTTGGTCTAAAGGCACTGCAGTATATAACTAACTATGAACTTTAGTAGACAATGACGATTCTCTTTCGGTGCTAGGTCGCCTGCGTGGAAAAAAGAGAAAAATTAGGAGGGACTTGTTTGAATGTGGGATGCATTCCCTCTAAATCTCTCCTTCACAATTCGTATCTTTATCATATGGCTTTGCACGATTTGAAAAATAGAGGAATAGAAGGTTTTGAGATAAAGTTACTTTCATTTTAACCTCAGATTCTTTTTATTTTACAGTGGAGTCTGTCCGTTTAAACCTCGATCAAATGATGACCGCTAAAAATTCTTCAGTTAACTCGCTTACTAGTGGCATCGAAATGCTTTTTAAAAAAAACAAAGTAAAAATGATGCATAGTTCTAAAATTATTTTATAGTCACTACAATGTGTTTGGTTTTCAATAAGGTTGACTACATTAAAGGGGTTGGCAAACTTTCGGAAGGCAACAAGCTTGAAGTCAAACTGTTGGAAAGCGGTGAAAGAGTGTTGACCTCTAAAAAAATATTACTCGCAACCGGAAGTGAAGTTTCGCCTTTCCCTGGTGGTGCCGTGGAGGTTAAATATGCTTTATATCATTAATACTGAAAAGGATGCTTTTTGTTGATTAGTTTATACCGATTACTTTTTGCCAAAAATAATTAATTAAAGTAATGATTTTGAGAAATCGAATTTCTATAAGTACAATTAACTTTCTAGTTTTATAGATCGATGAGGAGACCATCGTATCTTCCACTGGCGCACTAGCTTTAAAGCACGTTCCTGAGAAACTGGTTGTTATTGGCGGAGGAGTTATAGGTCTAGAGCTGGTTCTGCCTCTTTATTTGCTTGTTGCTTTCACAAAAGTAGAATCTCTTTTAGGGCTCTGTCTGGTGTCGACTGGGCGCTGATGTCACTGTTGTGGAATTCACAGCGAACATTGGCGGTGTGAACATTGACTTAGACATTTCGTAAGAATGCGTCTTATAAGTGCAATTCTTGCGGGTTTGAACTTCTGCTTTACAGCAAGACGTTCCAGCGGATGCTCAAGAAACAAGGAATCACCTTCAAACTGCAGACCAAAGTCACACGCGCCGAAAAGACGTCTAAAGGCGTTCACGTCTACATGGAAGACGCTGCTGGTCCTTTACGAATTCCGCTTCGGCACGTGCAGCATTGACTCATATTTCGCCCTCGCTTATCTGCCCAGGCGGGGACGAGAGCACCCTCGAGGCAAACGTGGTGCTAGTGGCGGTCGGTCGACGACCGTTTTCTAGAGATTTAGGCACGTGTCTCCCTTTGGTGATTATCAATAGGCTCCCAGTTAATTCTTACTTGCTGCAGGTCTTGAGCACGTGGGCATCAAGACGGACGCGCAAGGACGAGTCGAAGTCAATGATATGTTTGAAACTCACTGTCCAGGTATTTACGCCATTGGAGACTTGATTAAGGGGCCAATGCTGGCGCACAAAGCAGAGGAAGAAGGTTGGTAGCTGGCGAATCATACGCTTCCTCTGAACAGATCGGATGTACTTTTCTTGCAGGCATCATATGCGTCGAAGGCATGCTCGGGGGCAGCCCCCACATCGACTACAACTGCGTTCCTAACGTGATCTACACTCACCCGGAGGTGGCGTGGGTGGGCCGGACGGAGGAGCAACTCCGCCAGGAAGGTTGAACCAATCCCTTCTGCTCTGCTTAGTTCTTTTTTTGGAAACTTAAAAACTACAGGCATTGACTACAAGGTGGGAAAGTTTCCTTTCGCTGCTAATTCGCGAGCCAAAACCAACGATGAAACTGAGGGTTTTGTGAAATTTCTGAGTGACAAAAAAACGGATCAAATGCTCGGTAGCTAATTTTTTCTTTATAAACTCAGCTCCACTCCATCTCATTTTTAATGCTTCTCTGCGGCTTCTTAAGGCTGTCACGTTATCGGTACCAACGCCGGCGAAATGATCAACGAGGCCGTGCTGGCACTGCAGTACGGCGCGTCTGGCGAGGACGTGGCGCGCGTGTGCCATGCTCACCCGACTCTAGCAGAGGCTTTGCGGGAAAGCGCGCTTATGGCGTGGGCCGGGAAAGCTATCAACTACTAAACTTCCGTGTTAATAAAAAAAATATATACTTTTTTGGGGATTTATTATTTCATAGCCGTAAAAGTGTTGATGTACACGTAACGCGAAAAATAGACGTAAAGTTTCCTAAACCAGACGTACTGGGAGTGGTGTGCTCGCATTGCTTTCCGAATGACAGAAACCTATTGGGAAGATGCGCCATTTCATCTTCACTCGTTAAGTTAGTAGAAGTTAACCTGCTCGGCACTTGACACACATATTCTTTCTTGGTGCGCAGAAAAAAGAAGGTCAAAGATTCCGATGTACTTTCTTTAATTATGAAGTTAATTTTATCTATAGTCTTACGAATTCCCAAAAAATAGGTAAGTAGCTAATAAAATATAAAGTATAAGTCTTAAAGATTACAACGATTTTTTAAAAAATATTATGCATATGCTGAAAAAATCATATTTATTTATGGAACCTAAAAATACTCACAGAAGTTAAGGTAAGCACGGTAGGTACTTCCTTTTGGCTCAACTTTTTTATTAAAAATCTAGAATTATTGGAAAAGAATGATTTCATAAAAAACAATATTTTTTAAAATAAGTTGAACTTTTATGAACTTTAAAAGATATATTAAATTAAATATATAAAGAATGTAAGAAATCAAGATTCCTCAGGCCATAGTATATAGAGCGATGATTGAGATGCCCAGAGATTCCCTTTTCATCAAAAGTAAATATCTGTTAAAATACACAATAATTTACAACTAAAACATTCTTTTGTATTGCGATAAATACCAGATTTATGTTGTACTTTTTAATAAACTCAAAAACCAACTCTGCAATACTTTCTTTTGGCCATTCTTCTAAAGGGTTGTCGAGGAATTGACAGGTTGCAAGGTTAAATATGTCCTCTTTAAAAAATATTCTTAGTGTTAAAATTGTAAATTATACAATTTATACCTATAAAACAATTTTCTTCTTTAAGACCTAAAGCTGTGCAACTTTTAAAAAATTCTCTTTTTCTTGAACTGCCAAGACCATTAAAATTACCTAAATTCTCCTGGTAGGATTTTATTAAGTAAAGTTGTTAGCAGAAACAAGTCTTACCACTAGAGAGGCATATAACGTAAATATTGACTTTTGGTTCTTGTAACAATTTTAAGAGCAAGGGGCCGAAGAACATGCACTCATCATCAGGATGAGCGATTATTAACAAAACATTACCATTGCTTCTTGTTAGAGCGTTTTTCTGTTGGCGGTGTACCTAGTTTGCTAAGCTCAGAGCTTTATACTTTTAATAAAAGATTAAAATAAAAAACTAACACAAACCTCATAACTGAGAAGTTTTTTTATTATAAAGAGAAAATAAGCGTTAAAAACAATTGTTGTAATTGTCAGAGCAAAAAAATTGTTCATCAAGGTGCTAAAATAGGTTGAACCATCATAACTAAGGTGAAAACCTAGCTTAACTATAATATTATAACTACTGTCAATACCTTATTATCGCGTAACCTTAGAGCTAGAACGTTGAACGAAAAATAGCCCTGCGATTTTCTGCTGAACTGGTAAAAAAGTTCCTGCTGGCCTTGCTGTTTTCTCTTTTCCGCTGTTAAACCAGCCGCGCTGCTGAGTACACTGTTTAACTATTTGAGCACTTTTATATTTTAACGAAAAAAAAGTGCCAACTTTTCCATTAAAAACCTTAAAAATTAAAAAGTTTAAAATGTTTTTTTTAATATAAGGAATCTAGCTGTGAATTTATTTGGTAATCGTAAGATTACAGTTATTACTTAATCTAAGAGGCCCCGTTTTTTTTTGGGTTAAAAAATAACTCTTACGGAAAAAATTGGATACAGTAGTTACTCAGTTTTCAAGAATGAATCTATCTTTTTCTACAGAAGCTCTAAAGTTATACCCTTCTCTATAAGTTTATATTTTGAACTAAACTTTTAGTAAAAATCCGCTTGCCTCTTAAGCATTTATAATGTCGAGGAAAAAAAAGATTGGTATCCTAAGTCTCATTTATTTCTCAATAAAACTTACACACACAGATATATCTATTATTAATAGTATATATGTTCCCACCTATATTTAGTCTTCACAAGCTATTCTCTACCATCTCTACGAACTCTGTAACCTCCACTACTAGTTCTTATAAAAACGCCGTCAACCCTTTTACTTAGCACAATTCACTAGTACTCTGACGGACCAGACTTAATAAAAGTGCCATGAGAAGTGGCGTGAAAGTTTTTTGTATAAAATAATTTTGGTTATCAAGCTATTTTGTCCTCCCTTCTAGGTGAGGAGCTCATAATCAGGGAGGCCTGGCTGGCAGTAGTGTAAGCCAGTGTCTCCAGATGGCATCAGATTTTGTGCCTAAGGCTCTTTCTCCTGGTGGTGGTTTTTAGTGGTTTTCCACCACACTGGACAGAATGGCGGAGATCCGGGGTCGATATTTTCCGCTTTTTCAGTTCTTCAGGACATCCATTGTAGCGCCCCAACCCCTGCAGAAGAAGGGGATCCAGAGTAAGCGGCTTAAGGCCTCAAGAAGGTCGGTCGTAATATGCCAGTGCTAAAAATAAAAAAAAAAGAGCTATTTTGTCAGACTTGAGCGAGTTCTTCTGGGCTGTTGTAGTTGAGCGGTGTGACTAAAAGCTTCACTTTTTTTAATAACGTGTTGACATCTTAGTACATGGGTCATTAAAGTTGAATTACATCATGCCTAAGGAAATAGGGGTTTTTGAAAACTTTGAATCTATTATGAAGTTATAATAATACATTTCAAGCAAAAGTGGGCCAAAGTGTGTCTTTTCGGGGGTGGGTCGGTTTTTGCTTTAAAGCTGGTTTCTTAATAGGCTAACTAACGAAACTTTGGTAGCTTGTTATCTTATGGTTGCTCGCTGCGGTGCTGTATTCAAGTTGGATGCAAAGCCGGCGTTAAAAGGAATATGGCTTTCAATATAAGGTAATGAGAAAAGCAAACTAGTTGTTTTTGTAACTGTGCTCAGAGCAAGAAATTAGGGGTTAAAGTATAAATTTGGTAATTCTTTATGGATAAGCAATATTGATTTATTATATGAACTTTCAAAAACTTATGCCTTTTTAGCATTAATATTCTTCGCTAGCTAAGATACTTAAAAATCACAAATGCCGTGAAAAATGCCGTGAAATTTTTACTAACGCCTTTTGGCTTGTTCGTGGTGCTTTACAACACCGTGACCTAGAAGAATTTGAAACTCTTTTTGATTACTTTCATAGCACGGCATCGAAAGTTTTAAATTCTTTTATTATACAGACAGCTTTCTTGTTTAGCAATTTTTTTTTATAATAACGAGCCTATACAGAAAGTACAACATATATATATTTACATCGGTGTATTAAAGACCATGCTAAAATGGTGGAATAGGTTAAACAGTATATTAAATTCCAAAGCATAAGGGACTGCGCTCAGTTTTATAAAGAATTATAGAAATCAAATTTAAACCCGTACAACTTTAGTTTTCTTTTCAGTTAAAAAAAATAAGCGGTATTACTCCTCAGAAAACTGTTGTAAGTCAAACACCGAAGTAACTTGGACACCCTAAAAGAAATCAAGTAAAACCACCCGCATAAGTAGCATGTGTATTTATTCTTCTCATTTTTATATAGTTTCATATTAAATAACAAGAGAATAGATATAATTTTATTTATCACAACATACTAAGTAGTTATAGTTACAACTGGGGGTATACTTCAGAAAACCTAAATAATACTGAGGGCAAGTAAACTTTCTCATTTACATGAATATGTCTCCTCAACACAGTAATTAGAAGAAAAGGCAGCATTCAAAATTATACAACTTAATGTTCAATAATCAACGAAATGCGAAAGGACAACGCAATAAGTACACACATCACACTACGACTACAACTGTCGATTCCATTATAATGATGGTCTTACGTATTTAACCTGCTATACCCCCATGTCAGGCCGGTTTATCATATTTTTTTTCAGTTAGCAGATTCTCCATATGGCAGTTGAGTTATTTACTAAAGTATCTGCGATTTTGAATGCGCCCCCTCTCAGTGTGTCCTTTATTCAAGAACAAGTGCTTACTAAATTAATGTTGGGACATTGATGTGTGAGATGTCTCCTGTACATCTGATACAAATAAGCTTTTATAGTTTGTGTCTGTGCAGGAGTTTTGTAATTGCTTCATAAGGAGGTTAAGATTGTGGATAGGTGTTTATAGTTATGTGTTGTCTGTTCAGCGCCACTAACATACTCGTTTTGGGTATTCGTAATTGAGTTGTTAATTTGTGATCATAAAATGTTGTTCGGTAAGAGCACTTTGTATGCGGTATAAACCCTCCACTGTGAAAGGTGGCGTCCTCTCTTGAGGTTTGTTATGGGTATGAACGTATTTCGAATGTGTATAATTCCTATGATCTTAATCGTCTTTGTTTAAATTGTTTTTGCTTCCAGAAAAATGCGTTTAACATGGTCTTAATTGAGTTGTTTGTTAGTAGGTGTAAAATGTTGCTCAGTATCGCACTTCATATACTGTGTTCTTCCTCTTTTCTAAATGTTCTTTTCTATTGATTTAAGAATCCCCACTGACTTGAGAGGCTATTTTAATTTTGCTATCACATAATCTTATAATTGAGACTGCCAGATATCCGATTTTTGTAAGAGTATTTTTGGTTGTATAGTTTCCTCTTACAAAAAAAAATTTCCTTGGTAAGCATAACTCCTAGTTTTTTCGCAACGTTAAGGGTGACATAGTTTCAAAACATCTTTTATCGTCTGGAGGCTTGTTGGTGTGTTCTCTATCCAAGTCAGCGATTTTTGTTTGCAGTTTGTGAGGGAATTTCGACTGGTTAGATTATTCCCTTATTAATTTTTGAATTTGAAATGAAATGTTCTTCTGATATTTTTCCCTTCCGTAGAAGTTGTCCGTTTCTTTCTAACATGATTTTGTTATATAATCATCAGAGCGATTTGTGCTTATGTTTTAGAATTTATGAGGGCGAGTTTAAATCGTGACCTTTAAAAAACCGAAAAAGAGAGTCGCGTCATTGGGAATTCATCTACATCATCAACGCCTTGCTAGGCACGTCGAAGGTAGACATTTCGAAAGGGTAGTGGGCCTTGCCATCTTACTAAATGTCTTACTGTGAGGTGATGTTAGCTTTGTATTATAGTTAAGTTACTAAGTAACTCTAATTAGTATATATTTTTTAATTGGTTATACAGTACTAAAATATATTTGCATATTTTAATAATTAAAAAAAATTATAATAAATTTAAATTTTAAAACTATAAAAACCTCACTGTAGAGGTATAGTTATTTTTATACAAATAATTATCAAGAAACTCTTAAACTTTAATACCGTAACAGAATGCACTACAACTTTTAAAGACAAGTAAAGAATTTAATTCTCATGTCACTCGAGTTATTTCCTCAATTGCTATAATAGACGATAAGAACAACGTTTGCTACCGGATTATTCTTGAAGACTGCAAAGTATACTTTATTGCACATTACATAATTTGTTTTACGTAATTTTATAAACTTTTTGCTTATTTATAACTTATGAAATTAAAATTATAGTTATTAAAACGAGGCGAAGAACGCATTTTTAAGGCTGTAACAGGCTTGGCTTCTGCCCAGCCTCGAGGATTGTGCTTCGTTTATGAAGAAGAACACTCGCAAGATAAACTTGTGACGGCCGTTAGAGGCCTACATAAGTTCAGTTATTTCGAAGACATATCGTATTTGTTTGAGAAAAACATTTACAAGAACGTCAAAACACTTGTTTTTACCGAAAAGGCAAACGGAGAAAATTGTAAAGTTTGTACCACACGCGAGTTTTTTTGCTTAAATTTTATTAAATTGAAAAAATAATATTTTCTGTAATGATTTTTTGAAGATGAAAATTATTTTTCATATGATTAAATGTTTACTTATAGTATAATCTGCCAGACTTTGCAAAAATGTTTTAATATTTACTCAAAAGTATTTGATTATTATTAATATATAATATTCTCTGTACTAACTTTGTAACTATTTTTTAACTATTTAGTTATGATATTTCTCTAATTTTGTTTATTTACTTCTAAAAGCCTTTTAAACAAATGTTTTATAAATTTAATTTTTAGGTTTTTTTATTAGAAAATTTTTTTCCCTGATTTGCTACTACTTCTAATTTTTGTTAAGTTCACTAGAATTAAACCATCTTAAACACTTTTATATACTCTAAAGCATTTGTCGATATTTATACTTTGTCAATTATTATAACTTTAATTTTATTTTAAAGATGCCTGAAAAAATTCTTACTCTTATTTAACTATTATACTGTTTATTCACGTTTAAAATTATTTTGTATCAACTTCTTACTTTTACAAATTTTAAAGTAAAAGAAAACTATTAAAGCTTTTACTCCTTTGCTTAAAATTAATATTCGTTTACTTTTCTATATAATAATAAAAATCATTTTTTAGTGTTATTGACAAAAATTTCATATTATTTATGTCTATTACTAGATTTCGGGCTTCTACCTTCGTGTTGATTTTTTTGTTTGGCTAATTTCCAGCAAACAAGTGACTTTGGCTGTTTCTGACGAGTATTTCCTACGAGATCTAGACTCCACTTCCTACCAAAGCGAAAGATTTCTTGTACAAAACTTTTTCAAATTAAAATACGAAAATTCCTTTACACTTTATTGCTCCAATGGCGCCCCGTCATTTACGCTCTAAAAGTTAAATACACCAATATGATTTGTTTTTTAAAAAACGAACTGTACTACTGGTTGGTAATCGAAAGGATGTTGCAAACTTTTCCTAATATTTCATAATATTACGCTATTGGCTACATTATTTTAACGACCACTTACGATATTTAAAATGAATGTGATTGGATGACATACGCTTTTCGCAGCTCATATTGGTGTTTATTTTTTTTTCTTGCAAAATTTTATATAGGAAACCTTGTATTAGTCACAAATACATTTATATATTTGTTTATTAAAAGTTTCACAGTACTCAATATTTATAAAAATTATGAATGTATTATTTAATAAACTTTTCCTTGCTAAAATATAAAACGAGCTAAAAAGTTTTTTTATAGACTTGCCGCTTTTAATATTTTTATATAAAATAATTATTATTTTTTGCTTTTCACATTTATTAATAATTTATTTTATCTCTTTTTACAGTAACTTTTATTATTCTTTCTCATTCTCCTCTACTTTTATTATATAATAATTAATATTTATATTATAATTTTTTCTACTATATTTTTTGTTTATGACCAATAATATTTATTATTATATTATCTTTTTTATTATTTTTATCAGTATTATAATATTATTAACTTCTTTTTAGATGGCAAAAAGGATCGCTAATTTGTGGTTTAATATTATTAATACTCTCAAAAAAAATTCTGTTTCTAATATAATGAAGTTCATCGTAAGTTTAATTATTATATGTATAAATGTTTATGAAAGTTTATCTAGAATTTTTGTATAGTAGTTATAATATTTATAAAAGATACTAAAAAAATATAAAAAAAAATTAGATATAAAGAAAAGAATAATATTATAATTAGTATTACACACAATATTGACGTAATTAATATATAATATATTGCCGAATATTAAAAAATATTAATAAAGAGTTTCTATAAAATCTTTAATTATTATTATATTATTATTATTATTAAATAGGCGAAGCATTGCGCTACGCTGATTGGAGAAGTTTTGTTTAAAAATAAGCAACATATTGTAGATTACACTCCGCTGTTGGACGCTGGTATACATAGAAAATATTTTTTAAAGTTTTTTATAAAACTAACATTTATTATTTATTATTATTATATAAATATCTATACTTGAATTACTATTATATATGTAATATGCTTCTCTTTTATGTATTAAAATTTTACTTGTTACTATTTATTACTTTTCTTTTCTAACATTTATAGTGATTTTTTCAAAAGGTTTTTTTTATAAATAAATTTTACTTATTATTAATATTATTAGTGTACAATTTTTATATTTTCATAAATTTATTAACTTGAAATAAACTATTCTTTTACTTTAGATTATTGTTTATTTATTAATTTTTTTTTTAAACGTGCAAAAGTTTTTTTAAGAGCTTGCTAACTTTTCTTATTAATCAGTTTTTTTTTTACTTTTTACTATGTAATATAAAATTTTTTTATAATATTTCATAAATATGTTAATTTTTAATAAAAAGTTTTCTTGTATATATTAAGAAATTTACCTATAACTATTATTATTGTTAGAAGACATTCTATTATTATTGATATATTTTTGTATATTAATAAGTTTAAAATATTATATTTATATTATTATACATAAAAGTTCTCTTTTGTTATTATTATATAATTTATTATTTTGTGAGTACTTATTATTATTCATATTCACTTTTATTATTTTTTTATTATTTTTTTCTGCGAATAATATTAAATTAAAAAACTAAAACGTGTAATAAAAACTTTTCTATATTTACTTTTGAGTATATTTTATTTATTATAAGTTTTCTAGCATCATTATTAATATTGTATAATTTTTACTTAATATTATCAATTTATATAAACTTTTGTATACTTTTTATATTTATATTATATTATATTATTTTAGACATTGTGCAACACATTCGCTTTTTTGTTATTCGAGATTTGCGGCCTGAAAGTGAAGGACTGGCCTTTGCTTCTCCTCTTCGCTGCCGGAAACTTTTAGCCTCCTGGGTTAGGCCCTCCACTATTCTTAATTAATATTTTTAATTACTTTCATTATTTTATTATTTATTTGAAGTTTTTTATAAGTAAGTTTTATTATTTATATTTATTTTAATGATATACATTTTTTGTTATACACATTTTTAGTTTTAAAATAATTATTATTATTTAGATTTATTTTTATTATTTTTTAATTTCAACTTTATTATTATAATAATATTATATTGTTTTAAGTTTTAATCTTATATCATAAGTAGTTAACCATAATTATTATTTATTAATCATATTCAGATTTATTATTATGAATATTATTAAATTTATTCTTGAACAGAAATTATATTAATTATTCATTCAGTTTTAGTTTTACTATTATTATTATTTTGTTTTTTTCTGTTTACATTATTATATTTATTATATCATTATTTTATATATTATCATTTGTTATATTGTTTCCCTTTTATTTTTAAATATATTATAATTATAAATGTTATATTTTTATATTATTATTTTATTTTCATGTATAGAGTTATTATAATGAAAACAAATATCATTATATTTTAGCTTTACTATTATTATAAATATTATTATTAGGGACTTGCTTGTGTGGAGATGAGTTGCGCTGCTGTTGATTCTCCAGAAAAGTTTGAGCGCGAAACCGACTTCCAGCTAGCCACCAATGAGGAGGGCGCCGTCGTTTACTGTCTTGACTCCGCTGAAAAAGTATTTTTTCTAACTTAATATTATTTTTTTGTATAGACATTTTTTTTTATACTTATTACTATTAATTGTTGAGTAAAAGTTTACTATAACAAATGTTTTTTTACCAATTTTTTTTATAATTTCAAAGTTTTTATTATATTTTTTATAATTTTTTTTGTATACTTATTTTCATTTATATTTCTTTTAAATACAAATTTGTTTTATAATAAAAATTTAAAATTTTTCTTTCTTTTTGATTATATTTTTTTTATTTATTTTTATTTATTATAATTATTTTTAAACTTTTTTCTTGCGAAGGTAGTCTGCATGTACAAATATAAAAGTTTGTGGTACGTTTATTGGCGGTTTGTTAGAGAAAAAATGAAAGCGAGACGATCTCTGGAGCAACTCAAAAACGGTTTTTTCTATATAAAATTTTTTTTTAATTTTTTTATGGTTTTTTTTATTATATAAACAGAATAAATAATTTTTTTTCATATAAAATATATTTTTTCTTTATTTTTTCATGTGGATTTTTTAAAATTTTTAATAAATGAAAACTTTTCTCTATAAATGTTTATTTTTTTATATATATAAAAAGTATAAAAAAACCTTTTTTCCTAACTTTATAGTAGATTTCAATGTTTTATTAAATAGTATAAGAACTTTTTAATATTATTATTATTTATTTTATAGATTTTATAAATGCTGTTAATTTTTTTCATTATTTTGTATATAAAACTTTAATAAAAACTTTTTATATATATTAATAAACTTTTTTATTTTAACAATTTTTATTAACTTTTCGTATAGGAAACTATAAGAAAACTTTTACTTAATATTATAAAAAAGAATGCTATATATAAAATATTAATAAATTGTATAATATTTTTATTTTTCTTGAAAAAAAATATTTAAAGAAACTTATTAATATCTTTACCGGAACTTTTATATAATTCTGTTACCTAATAAATTTAGTAATATTTCATATTGTAAAAACTTATTAACTTTATAAAAAAATGTTTTTTTCATTTTTTATAGTAGTTTATATTAAAAACTTTATAAATAAAAACTTCTAAAAACTTTTTAATAATATTATCAGTAAAACTCTCAAATATTTATTTTTACCTTTTAATAGAATTTGGGTCTATTTGCGCTTGATTGCGCTGATTTATAATTATTCATGGTAGATATTGCTCGCCATAAAAGCCGTTTCAAAGGACTCGACCTGGAGAGTCTGACACATGACATGGCTGCTTTTTATTCGTTTTGTCTGCAGCAAGAAAAGTCTAATAAAGTGATTATCATTATTATTATTATTTATGTATTCAATTTTTTTTTTACTTTTATTATTATTATTATTGCATTCAGTTGCAGTGGAGCAACCTCATGGACAATTGGATTTCCCTGCGGAGCGCTTTTAAGGCTTCTTCAAGCTTGCTAAACGCACCAGTCGAGGACAAGCTTTCCGTGAATTCTAGTACAAAGCCAAAAAAACTTCAGCTTGTTTTTCAAGGCATCATGATTTTTTAATAATGAAAAAATATATAATATATAAAGTTAAACTATAATAGTATTTTTACTACAAAATAATAAATATTAAACTTTTTCTTTATTAAAAATAACATAAACTTTCAGTTTCTTATTATATTTATTAAAAAGGTCTCCCAGGGACCGGGAAGAGCACACTTGCACGTGCGCTTTCCCATCTGCTTGACTTGGATTGGATTAATCAAGTGACACTGTTTTTACTGATTTTTTGTTTTGTATATCGTGAATTTCAGTGGATACGTATATATTTTTGTTTTATTTTTTCCAATAAAGTTTTGTTTATATTTATAATGAAATATTCTTCATATTTTATGAGTTTTTCTACATGAAGTCATTTAATTATTATTTATTTTATCTTAAAAAAATTATATTTAATGATTTTTATAGTTTCATATTTATTTATAATCATATTTAAATATTAATTAAAAAAAGGACAACTGCGGAAATGCCCGGAACTACCATCGCAGGATAAGCACCAATCAGAATCCGAAAGGGCTAATAGCTGACAAGTGCCATCATCTCGCTCAAGTTTTTGTTTATCCTTTTTTTGTCCCTCAATACCATTTAAAGAAGAAGACTAGCAGCCAATCAACAATAAAATAATTTATACATTATATTTATTATGAAAAGATTATAATAATATTATTGAAGCAATTTGTTTGGGCACAAAAAGTTTTACTATAAATTAGATTTTATTAAAAAGCGCACTTTCTCTTTTTAATTTGGTACATGTTTGGATAAAATTTATCAAATTAATCATTCTTTTCAATTTTTTTTAACGAAGCATCGAGTTAAACTTTTCCGCGCACTGAGTCCCACCGACGCGCTTGTGTTAATTATTATTCAATCTCCACGTGACGAGGACACCCTGACGCACACGGTTGGCTGCTTTCCTCCCCAATGTGTTGGGCATTAATTGTATATCATTTCCGTTACAGGCTGCTTTGGCGTTCGAACGTATCAAACTTCGAGGTTTTTTTTCTTCACTTTTCTAATGATTTTTGATAATATTTACTTCACATTATAACGAAATTTTATATATAAAAAGTTATTAATAAATACTATAAATGTTTTTGGATTGCTTATGATATATTTTTCTTTACTTTTATTATTTATTGCATTTTACTTATTACTTATTTACTTTTATATATATTATTATACTTAATCTCCTTAGTACAAATTTTTTATTTACTTTGTATCATTTTATACACATATTTGTATAGTAATAAACTTATCATTTTATTATAACTTTTTTTATTCTCTTTTTATTATTATTTTATATATTAATGTAACAACTTATTTATTAATTATTCTATTTTTTTTATCGTCTGCTAATATATTTATATACTTTTTATTTGTTTACTATTTATTCTTCCCTTTAATATCTTTTTATCTTCTTAATAAAAGTAGTCCAAGTTTTTTCTTTATTTATATTTTTATATCTTTTTATTATTATTTACTTACAATATTAATACTAACCAGGATTGGGCCATACTTCCTTGATCGACCACAAAACTGCGCGGCACGTTATTGGTCGATTTGCACGAGAACTGTACGCCGCTCGTTTGTGCTTCTATTTTTATAATGTTTTCTTTTGACCATTTAGTGAACCTTTTACTTCTGAGGAGTTGAGCAAAGCTTCGTTAGTTATTCATGTATTATTATTATTGCTATTATTTATTATTATTATTATTTATAAACTATAAACTATTTTTTATACAAATAACTATATTTATAATTTATATATAACAGTTGGATCCCCGTCTCGATTCATTATCTCTTTTAATGCAACTTCTTAAAGAACTTAAAAAAATTTGTCGTGAAATCCAAAGTTTTACTAAAGAAGTAAACTTTCTTCCTTTTCACTTATTTTTAACTGTCCTTAATAGTATTTTTTATTTATTGATATATTTAGCAGTTTTTTGTTAATTATGTTTCCATATAAAAGTTTATATATGTTTATTTTTTGTTTAGAGCTATTCCTATATTTAAAAGTTTATATATATTTACTTGTTATTTAATACTATTTATATCTATATATATTTTATATTTATTTCCTTGTAAAGGAAATGGAAAGTGCTTTGAAAAGCTCGAGCGAGTACGAGAAGAACTTGGCAAAAAGAAACACTTCCTTGTATAAAATAGTCTATTATTCACTGGAACTGGTAACTTATACAGTAAAAGTATATAAAACTTTATTATTAGAAAAAATGAAATTTATACGTAAACTTTTCTTCTAAGTAATAGTGGAGGTAAAAGTAGTTGATAATATTCATCTATATTTTTTCTAATACTTGAAAAAATTAAGTATTCATTATATATAATATAAACTAAAAGTACGTTTAAATATAATTTTATATACAACACTCAAAAGAAAACTAGACTTATAATAAATTTAAAAAATTATATATAGTAAAAAGTAAATACAAAAAAATAAATTAAACTTTATTTAGTTTACTTGCCTTAAAATTAAAAATGAAAAAAAAGATTTATACTTTTTAACCAATGAAAGATAACTTTTTATTAATATCCAATAAGAATTAATGCCAACTTCACAAAAAGAAAAATGCAAAATGATATAATTGGCTAATAAGAAATGCTTATATACTTATAAAAAAATATTATATAAAACTAAAAAATAAGTGGCCGTAAAATCTAAATGAATTGTTCCAATCAAAAACTCTAATTTTTCGCATTAAATAATTTTTATTATTATTATAATTTTAATACTTATTAATAAAATCAAAATATTAAATGAATACGTTTAGAGATACCTGAGCGGGTTACAGAAAATTATACTTTTTTTTCTTATTATTTAATAGTATATAACTAAACTTTATAATAAAATTTAATAAGTATTAGTGGTAACCAATAAAGCAACTCAAAAAATATGATTTGTGCGCTTTTGGAAAACATTTTACTCCTTACAATAATTTTTAACGTAACTACCAATAATTTTTATAATATATGTTAATAAAATTATTAAATTTTTAATATTTTTATTAATTTAATAAACTTTTATTATTTATATTTTAAATTACTTTATTTATTATAAATTTTTTTTATAATTTTATATATTTTTAATTTTTTTGTTGCGTTAAATATCGCAGCCAATGAATTATCACATAATTGGCAAGTAAATTGTCATTTGGGATTAATGAAAGGAATGTAGTTTTACGCTTAATAAATTATAAAATATAGAATCAATGACTGACCAGTAAAAAATGTTTTTATAATAAATAAATTGTCTTTGGTTTTGATAAAAGAAATTTATTAACCAATTGACTACATATATATAGCAAAAAACGACAAAGTGTAACTGACCCATAAAATCAATATATGTTTATGAAAAGTGTTATAAGATAATTATTAACCGAATAAAAATGTTATACCGCTTAACCCTGAACAAAAAAAATAGGATGAAGAAAGTAACGGAGCCATTAGAGAGCATATTCCTCCGCTTGTGAAGAATTTAGTTACCGGCTGCACCTTCCCTAAAGAGTTCTACACTATTATCAATATAATATTATACATTAGGAAATATTTTCTACAGTTTCCATATCACTTTATTGCACGATGAAGATAAAAGTATACCTCCTTCACAGAAAAAACTGTTGGAAGAAAGATTAGAGCGTGAGGCATAAAATCTTCCATTCAACCAATATATATATATTATTTTGATATTTGCTAGATTGAAAAGGGAAGCATGTGGGAAGTCATCGTAAGCCGCGTGGCCTATAATAGTCACGTGGCTGCCATCATTCTTGATTCCAGTCAGCTGGGAGGTTTAGTAGACGGGCCTCTGCAGTTCGTTCATATAACTGTTGCTTTGGGTCTTCTTGTGCTTAATTATTATTATTGTTATTATTATTAATAACTTATTGATATTATTATTACTGCCATATTATTTATTTATTTCTCTGCTTATTAAAAGGATTGAACCCAGAATCTCAGAAACGGGCTTGCCCTGTAGAAAGCCATAATCTGCGTGATCCGACCAAAAGATCGCTGATTACTTTAGCCTCTCCTCTACTTCTCCGAGGACAAGTTTTTAGGCACATCAAACATAAATAATAAAATAAAAATTATGTTAAATTGTTTCTTTCAAAAGTTTATGCTTTTATGATCAACTTTAAGTTGAGGTTTTTAACAAAAGTTTTCTATATAACTGACTAAATCTAGGTGAGGTTAAGGCTAAGATTCAGGAAATTCGGAATAGACTGCAAAAAAATGTAACCTCTTAAAATTAGAATTGCACCAAATTTTTAAGTGTGTAGCACAAGCTTAACGGTGTTTTTTTAACGTCTTCTATTTTTCAGTAAGCCTCAATAATATCACATTACTCTTTTAATTCCTTTAGGTAAAAAAACAGTTAAACAGAAAGAATTTTCAAAAGATTATTAATTTTGGTGTTTATTGGCTTTCCAGAAGTAATTTATCGTTACACTTGCTTTTGATATATTAGTCTTAAGCAAACTTTAAATTTAACTTTATAAAGTCTTTGAGGAGAGGAAAGAAGAAAGGTTATGGTGCTTTTACTTGAAAGGTCTTGACCTTGTATTATTCCGTGGGGTACAAAACCTTAAAAGCAGTGATGAAGGCAAGCTCTTTAAGTGCCTGAAGCTGAGTTATTTTTTAATAAAATTATAACAACTGTAGCATATCAGAATAATTAATAGATAAAAGTCCATGATTCTTTTGTAACGAGACCGAAAGGAGTGACCGAAATTTGTAAAGTTCCCTATTAAAAACTCGTTTTTAACAAAGTTTATGCAATTTGCGGTCCTAATATTTTTTTTTTTTGCGAAACAGTAACTACTGAAAAAGAAGTAATCTTTTTAGATTCTTAATTTAAAAAATCGACAGTCATCTATATCCTTTTGGATAGTTACAATACTCTTTGGTCTTTTTAAAACTCGATTGTAGTAGTATGATAGTGTTTAAAACTTGGAGATAAAAGGCATTTATGTTGATCGAGAGCAACGAAATCCTCCATGAAAAAGTTTTACAGAAAGTTTTTATAAACCTTTATCCTAACATATTATTTTTAATACTTAATATTGTACAGCTTGTTACAACTTCATAGATTATTTTCGACTTATTTTTGTGGGTTGTTAAAACCATTTTTCACAAGCTTTACTAAAATAAAGTTCTGTTTATTAGGATAATTTCCTCAAGATTTTTTTTTAATTTTTTGTTTTAATCACACACAAAGCGAGAAAACCTATGAGCGGTTTATTGTAACTTTAAGACTCGTATTAAATGAAACACATACTGGGTTGAGTTATTATTATAGTACCACGACTTATATTTTGTCTCTTTTCAAATTTTAAGTAAGGAGCATATGACAGATACGCTCTAACAAAAAAAAATCCGCACCTCTTAAACACTCAACTATTGTATTCTTTAAAAGAGCATAAAGCAATTAAAAGTAGCAAGCCAAGAATAATCTTTTTAAATTACAAATAAATCGATTAAGTATATAAACGTATGGATTCTGTTATTCATAATTGGTTGAACTTTTCTGAAAACTTAACTTTAGTTTCTTCAAGTTATAATATAATACTAAAAGTCTTTTTTAAGATTTGCTTGGGCTACTAAATTTTTATTTTACTGTCAAGGTGTTTTAAAATTAAGGAGACATTACACGCTCATTTATCGAAAAAAGAGTTTTTAACAAAAGCTATAGACGTTAGACACAAAAGTTTGTAAGACTTACTTTCAAGTTAAGTAGCAGAAACAGATCAAGCCAGAGGAAGACGCACAGAGTGGGCTCGTATATATTTACTTTAAAGTCTGAGTTATTTTATTATAATTAAATAATTAATAATTGTTGTTCTTGCTTCTTTGCTTAAAATTTTTAGTTTGAGGTTGTTCGATTTATCCACCTTCCGTTTTTGTTTTTACTTTAAATAAAGTTATGTATATAAATGTTTTGGCTTGTCGCTAGCTTTTAGGTATTTAAAAATTACAAATTACTCCAGCTACTTTTTATATTTGCAAGTAGGAAATAGTTGTAAATAATGAAAACGTAGGATCGTTATCAATTTTTACGGTGTTGAATATGCTCTGCAATTATAGTGTATTTTATTTACAGTTTATAAATAAAAAGTAATTGTTTTCCAGTTTGCGCGAAAATATAGAAAAAAAATTAAGTGTTAATAAATTCAATCGGAACTTGTGAAATATGGCGTCCTTGAGTTTATATAGGCAAGGCAGCTAGTTTTTTAGTACTTCATAAACATTTAATTTCCACCGCGATAGGCTGAGGCTCCTATAAAGAAGTCTCGAAATTCAACCCTAGTATACAAAAATAGGTTTCACTTAACAGTTGTACATTATTCTTAGCATAGTAAGTGGAATTATAACTGGCTTATCAGCTTAATTAATCAATACGCGACCATCATTAGTTTTTCAAAAAATTTTAACTTGTCACGTAAACTATAAAACAGTTTCTTATATAGAGTATTGAACTTTATATAGTATAAACACTAAATTATAATTTTTTCCTTTAAAAAAAGATGGGCAAGCTAACTTTTTTTATTGTTGTCGTTAACAATTTTTATAACGCTAAAAAGCATACGCCCTCAAAAAATAGGAAGGTTCTAGCAAAGTAAAAGTTCTAAAGTACCCAATTAAAGTGAAAAACATCTCACTTATATTTCCAAGTTTTAGCATAAATTAATCTACATTAAATTTACAAAAACGGGTTTCCAAAGATTGCATACACTACACAAAATGTACCCTGTTAGTATTCTCCTTTGTCTTCTTGCATCGAAATTTCACAGTAAAACAATAAAATTATTACTGAGGAGAGGTGTAGTTACGACTTTTATCATAAGATTTTTATTGTAAACCGTAATACCGTTATTACCTCACTAGTCACCAAGTGGAAGTTCAACTATACTATTTTTTTTACCCTTTCAAAAAAATTGTGATAGAGATCCCTTCGAGACTACCAGAGGCAAAAGACTAATACTATATAAGGCTTTTATAAATTAACTATCTCTCAATAGAACTTTCTAATATTACTACGATACTATATATATTTTTTTAGTGAATTAGCTTGATTAAGTGGAATTACCTACTGGCTAGTTAGTGTCTTTATATGATTCATTGCACACACAACCTTTACTTTTCAATAATTTTTATTAACTTTTAATTAAAACATGGTAGCAAAGTTTGCAATCAGCGACAGACGCGCATTTTTACAATGGTATTAATCAATCTACCTAATAGAGGAACATTCCCTGCATATAATAGTAAAAACTCACGAGTCCATCAAAGATCCATCGCGACTTCGAATAAAAGGAGGAAGCAACGGTGTAACGTGCGGATTTTTAAATGTTGAATTCTCGGAGCCCACTTTGAATCCAGGTAACCCAGTGCTGTACAAAATGCATTTCCATCCGACCTAGAAAAAAAAAAAGAGAAGTCAAAAAAACTGTTGTTATTATTATAGAAAGTTAGAATGGTTATTACTTCCATAAGATTAAGAAATATTATATTTTTTAATTCGCAAAGTAACAGGGCCTTATGAGCTTGTCTACAATTTCCATAACTTGATACAAATTTGGAAGCATAATTTGTAAATTAATTTATTACGGGTCTTCAAGGATACCAGCATCTAAGTATAACCCCCACTGCTTTGGGCCCTTCAAGTATATTTTCTGAATCAACAAAATTTTATAACATTACTGAAACGCAAGGATATTAGAAAACACACCTCTTGCTGTTGTGAAATTTCGTCAAAGGATATTAGCATATCGCAGAATTCTATCCTTTATACAAGAATTCATTACTACATTAAGGTTTTCAAAAATATATGCTTTTAGGAGATGCTTAAATTTTTTATAGTCTGGTGCAGTCAAACCATTTTTTTTTTATATATTTTCTGAGAGGTCCGCACTCATTATAGTATAAACTAAGAAACAACACTTTATAACCAATTATAACCCTATGTTCTCTCCATTATCGAACTACACAAAAATTTAAATAAATGGTAACAGATTTTTTAAAGGTGTGCGGAAACGAGAGTCTTTAATAATAAACAAAGTTATCGAAATTTAAGCCTTTCGGTGGGCCGTGTTTCCCACATCATCCCCACTGACGACGCTATGGCAAACATGAGCCCTATTTGGAACCAACATGGTGGCAAAACGTTAGCAAATTATAAAAAACCTGCCAAATAACTGATTCAACCAGTCCGATCGCACCCCGACTTGCAGTTTACACAGAAAATAAAGTCCAAAGTCACGTGCAGGACGGAGATCAACAACAGCTCGCAAACTCGTGACACAGAGCCCACCTCCACGTGCGCTTGAAGAAGTCGACAAAGAGTCTAAATTCCAAGTGGTATAAAAGATAAATAATACAAGATCGCAAGTGCGCCTTACGAAACGGCAATACATGCTTATTCTCAACTATTTTGTAAATTAAAATAATAAAGGAATGATAATAATTTTACTTTTAAAGCGATGCTAACTTTTAGCAAGGCAGTTACTTGCTGCCGCACATTCTCATTCGTACTATTTAGGAACTTTCGAAAGCACTTCTGCTTGAAGTACTTATTTAAAAATTTAAAATACTCGTTTATAGTGCTAATTTACTTCATAATAAAAAGATATTGCTCTCATGCTTGCTAATAACTTTTTATCAGCAGTACCGTTTGACAAGTTGCAAAGCGCATGCTCTGTACGCTTTAATAATTCCTAGAGTATAAAAAACAAAAAATTGAACTACTATTCATAATAAAGTTGGTAATGGATCTAATTAGACCACTTAATAGCCAAAGCTCCTATAACAAAGCTTTTATAAATATAAAACTACTGCTTTCATGTCCTGGAAAACGCTAAAAGTCAAGCACTCTTTCAGATCTTGCAATGCCCAGTGACAAAGTTGGACAAGTGCAGCGTGATTAAGGCGTCGAGAAGACTACCCGAAGCATTTTTAAGCACCCTTTTTTTTTTACTAAAGTTCATTAAAGCCATTACAGCTTCACCGACAGAAATCCCACTTATTTCGTAGAGATTTGTTTGATAGTTCATATGAAGAAAGCTCGGTTTTTTCTATAAATATTAGTGGCATTATATATTATATTAAAAATAAAATATAAGTTTTAATCATAATAATTATTGTCATTATAGAAAACTACAACTTTAAACTAACAAGTTCGCTGACGTTAAAAAAGGAATCGCAGGACCGGAAATTAGTCTCTTCAAAGGCATCACAACTGATTTCTTTTAATTTTTAAGTATCAAAAAAACACTATTATAACGTAGTAGTAACTATTTGAAATAATAGTTAGGCAAACAATTCTTTTTATTGTTGTAATAATGGGAAAAGTCACAATTATAGATGCATGCATTACTGGTCAGACTAGAGCACGAGCGCTTCTGTCCAGCCGCCCATGAAAAAAAGCCTGTCTTCTTTGGTAGCTTAAATAAGTAAATTGCACAGTTATGTTTGTTTGCACCAAAATAGATTGTATAATGCCCGTTTCAATTACACTGAATTGGCTGTGCGACCCAAAAATAGCGGACAAAAGTTCGTGCTGGCACTTCACCATTTCTTTTTCGCTGTTGGAAAAAGAAAAGGTTGAGATGAGCGAGAGAGAAGCCACGCGCTCGGTCGCTACAGAGTTATCAAAAAAAATTTAAAGGAAGAAAAATAGTTTAGAAAAAAAACTATATACAAAGTTTCATAGAGAGCCTTTCTTTTAACACGGCTTTAACGACTTCTTTGTATTGTGCAGCCTGATTGCTCAATAATAAATATAGTTATAATCAATATTATTATTATAATAAGAATGAAACCTTTTCAGGGGTTTCAATTATGCCACTTCTAATAATTGTATGGCGATCATTTACGTGTGTATGGTAAACATTCATAAGAGAGGAAGATTCCTTTGAATTCTACATAAATATATATTATTTATATATAGAATATATGAAAAAGTGAATTTCAAGTAAAAAAGAAGTTTATAAAATATGTTAACTATATTTGCAAAAAGAAACAAAAATCAGGTAAATAAATAAATATTATTGCAAAAATAAATTTTAAATTATTTAATTGCGCAGGGTAAACCGGAATTCTTCTCCAGGAAGTTCCAGTGGCCCCTCTACCTTTAAAAGAAAGAACTTCTCCTGCTAAAAAAATTCATTACACATCCGTTAGCCAAATCTTTTCTTCAAGTTTTTTATTTAAAAAAAACTTCATGACTCTACAATTTATTAAAAACTCGACCGCTATTATCACTAAAAGACCAATCAAAAAGCTTTAGCTCTGCTTTATTTGCTCCGTTAGACCAATGGCACCGGATGTCACGCTCCCATTTTGACAAATTACCAACCAAATCTCCTGCAAGCTTTCCCGAGACAACTGACAAACAACCATCAGTAAAAATAAGAATAAAATCTTTTAATTGGGTCTTAACTTTCTGAAATGCTTTGTATAAGCTTTTCCTTTCTTACTTTCAATTGTTTTAATCTAAATTAATAATTGTAAAGCTTTTCTTTTGTTATCTGAAAAGGCAACAATTATCAAAAAAAAAAATAAAAGTAATACTTACAAGTAAACCACATTGTTTACTTGTGTGTGGAGAAGCAGTTTGGGTGACTCTATAACGTAACTCCTAAAGAAATGACAAATAAAATAAGGAAGTTTTAATTTTAATTATTAGCTTTATCTGTATATTATATAGGAAAGAAAAATTTGCATTATAGACGTCAGATCACCAATACTATCATTTTTAAACTGTGTGTGAAGTGTAAACTGGTAACATAAAGTAGATAAAATTTGGATAAATATATGAATACACAAAATACTTTTCTTGATAATGAAAATTTTCCATTAAGTTTCTACTGGCAATCACAGGTTGAGCTGTTTTTTATAAACTAGTTCTTTATAATATTTTGTATTACAGGTTGAAAGCTACTTAATTGCTTTATTCCTTCTCGCACAATTACAACTAACATCTTCTCCTCGCAACTTAGTCCTTTTAAAAAAAAGTTAAAAAATTATTATAAATATTTACTTTTTCTATTCTCTAAGGAAACCTTTTTATGTTATAAAAAATACATTTAAAAAAATTGTTTTCTTTTTAATAATATAAATACCTCTCAAATAAATAAAGTTAAAACATATAAGTCTATATGAAAAAAAGAGAAAAGTTGCATATACTGTGGCATTCATAACCTGACTGAAAACTCAATTTTTCTATTTGAACCATTCTTGGAAACTAAATATTAAGTTTTTATACCTTTTAAAATTAATTGAATTTTATAAGGTGGGGAAGTTACTAACACTGTCCTCGCCAGTAAAGTTCATCAAATTCGAAACATTAAAAAAAATTAGTAGTTAAAAATAATTGTATTAGATGGTCAATAATTAAAGCTTCTAAGTTAAGCCACGTAAACCCATGTAACTTGGCTCGCCTGCTTAACAAAAAAACTAAGAGTGGAGAGCGGTAAAAATGGTTAAGTATATCTATATATGGTAAGTAGTACCTATTCTTTGGTGGAGCAGGTTTTCTGAAATGGTTATCGGTTAAAGTATAGGAAAAGTTAAACCAACGGTATTTTATAAAAACCAATTTCGATTTTGATTTATTTTGTAAAAAACCAAAACTCACTTGACCCTAAATACTAATAAACCTAGAAATGTTTTTAAGAAATCTGATAAGTTATTATATATGCTACTTAAGTTCCTCTTTTTATTGTAAGTCCACTCAACATGATTTTTTTTCTTTTCTTATTCGTTTCGACTGTTTTTTACTTACCAAACAGATATATTTTCTTTAATAAAACAAGCTCTAAGCAATAAATTTTTCTTATTGAGATTTACTATATTCATGAGCGGAAATGCAAGTCTACTAATGAAAGAACGAACATCAATTTACATCAAATAAGTCTAACGGTATAAAAGGTACAAATTGAGCAGTTAATTAGGACCTTCAACTCACCGAACTGTTACTCTCGTCGCCAGTGTGTACGAATTTTTTATATCTTGGTGTTACTGGAGATTCATTACGGCCTTGCTTTGAAGTTAGGTGGGATTGCCGCAAGAAAATAGGAAAACGTTTTATGAAGCACAATCAAATATAATATCACTATAAGCTTTAACCAATGTTACTTTTTAGGCCTTGACGCCAAATATATATCAATTTTTTTGTCTTAGAAGAGTTGATTTAATAAAATTATTTAAACTGCGGTAGCCTGTACTCAACGGTAAAGAAAGTATTAGAATACCATTTAACTTAAAGTTGGACACAAATACTTTTAAATCAAATGAAATATAGAAAACTAGTAATATTAATTACAGCGATAGTGATCAAACAAAAATAATAGTAATAATAGTAAGTATGGTAATAATGGATTTTAGGTCCAAACCATTAAATAAAGGACCACTGATAATAATAAAAACTAGTTTAATAACAACAAGAAAACCTCAACCACGCTCGTCTTTAAGCAGGATGGAGAATAACAAGTAATTCAACATCACAGAATTTGTGCATAAAGAAGCGAGGCAGCATATTACTTTTAACCACCAGAAGAAAGGCCACTAGATTAATTATACGTAAAAGCTATTGCGATCTCGACATTTCATTCAAGGATTACTTGCGTCTGTAAAGCTTCAATTTTTTGTGGCACAGACGCCCATGGAAAACAAGCTTACGAAAATAGCATCAAGCAACCACTACGAAATGTGACCAGTAGAAGTTTTGTATCATCGTCTTTCACTTGCAAGTGCGAATAGTAAAGCTCTGGACACCACTGCAGATAGTATCGTGAGAGCCATCTAAACCATAGTGTACGAAATCTCGAGAAGTGCCCGCCAAGTATGATAAACAGCGCCTGATTTAAAAATGGTATTATCCAATATACAGTCATTTACTCCTACTGCGGCTCAGAGGAACTCGTACGCCGTGCTTTTTTCAATTTGCTCACGCCATTCCTGAAGAGTTTCTGAAATTGTAAGTAGTTGTTGTTCCAAAGGCATTTTCCTATTACCTTTACTCTTTGCGCTTTTATGTGCACGGTTGCTCAACCCTGCATTTTCACATACACCCGCGGAATGTTTCATACGTAGGCCTACCCTACTCCACCAGCTTTTACAGAGCCATCTACTCACTCTGGTCAAGTGGGGTGTCGCTCATGAAGGTTTACTATTAACGCGGAGAAGGGCGAAGCCCTTTTTAGAACGAGATGCGCGCTTTACTACTACCACTGCACTTTAATTACGCGATACTCTCATAGTGTTCCCAGGGGAAATATCAAAGATTTTCTACTACTTCTATGGAAAATACGATATGTGAAAATTAGCCCCCCATATGTACCACATGTACTTTCATGAGAAATAGAGTTATCTGCACCATTATTGGTGTTAAGCCTTTTTAACTGCGTAAATACCTCCATTTAGTTTTTGTTAATTACGTGCATACGTATTTATACACGTTAGTTTATCCTGCTGAGGGAAGTAAAAATTCTTTATATATATTATAAAATGTTGTGTGGGGCACAAAACAAGCAGGTTTATGAAGTATTTAAGCTAATATATTGGTTTAAACAATGACTGAACCTTGCCTTACGGTAAATCGCTCTACGATGCTTTTACTATAGTAGCTGTTTATTGAGATTTTTTTCAGGCTTACAACAACTAGTCACAAAGGAGAAAGAGTGTTAAAAGTGACCTAAAAAGTACCAGCGGTATATTTATTAACTTAAAGCTTGTGCAACTCAATATTAAAACCGCGAAAGTTTTTGGCGATATTAAAGGAGACCTTTTAAATAGCTAGAGGATAAAAGCTAATAATATCTGTAATCGAATCTAGCTGTGCCTTAGATCGTGTCGGAAGATGCTAAGTATCGCAACTGTCTGAGCGTGCGTCAAAGTAAACAGACTGCTATGATTCAGCTTCAATTTAATATCATTGAAAACAAATGAAAATAAGTTCTTCTTCTATTAACTTTATTTGTGATATGCTATTCTTTGTTACTTGCCTCTTCGTTTGGTCTATAGTGTTAAAATGAATCTCTTGTAGAGAAGAGATTGGATAAAAATTTATTGATAAAAAAATAATAAAAAAACAATTAAAGTAAAACAACAACCAATCAACTAGTCGAAATGTGCAGGCACACTAGAGGGAGTCCCCAATATCTCTACTTAACCCCAGTTGTAAACAAGCTTTATAGTCCAACTTAAGAATAATCACTTTTCGGAAACTAACGTCGCTTCAACCAATTGGTTTTGAACTGTGCGCTCGCTTAAAATCCAGTTCCGTAATTGTACATAGCGTTATTTAACACCCTGAGTGGGTAGTGATTGCGTTGTTACTTTCAAATATATGACCTAACAAGTAGTTCAGAAACCAAACCAAAGACATACAAAAGCAATTAAATTAAGTTATAAAAAACAGCAATTTAAAGGATTACTGAAATTGTATTATAAACTAAACTTGCTAAAAAAGAGTTACGTTCTGTAGTATAAGGTTTCTAGAAAAAATCTGCGGTAGCTCTTTTTTAACTGCATAGTTAATCTCTCATATATATTCTACCGATATATTTAGTATACAATAGCATTAGAACTTACTTAAAGACCTTTTCATCTACAGAATAGTACCAAATCGTAAAAAAGTTTAGTTAAACCTCTGCATTACACATCCTTTAGAATTAGTTTGTTTAGTTTTACTAATAAACGCAACTCTGTACTACATGAAATTTTAATTGACCCTTGTAATTTCTGAAATATAATTTCTTTGTGTAAATAAGGTATTCACTTAATTGATTTTTTTTTCTTAAACTTCGTCGCTTACATTTTCTTTTAGTCAGACTATTAAGCTGTCCTTTTTGTTAAGTTCTTATTACTTTCTATATTCTTAGAAACAATAAATAGCAACTAATTGTGCTCCAATCGACAAGCTAAAAAAGTCGGTTAAGTTTTCTACGGCATAACTGCCAAACGAAAGCGCTTAAGAGCATAGCGCACCAGATATTTTACAAAAAGATTGGGAGATGAAATACACTAGTATTTATCTTCTTATAAACTTAAGTTTAGCCTCCATAAATAGACTTAACCTAAACACTTATCCCTTTGAAATAAAAACTATGCCTGACCTAGTAAGTGATGGATCTTTACTCTATCAGAAAACGGCTGTATTTCTCTATTTAAACACAAACAAGCTATGAAAGACAGAAGGACTTTAATGTTAGATAAGATTGAGCTATTGCTTTTACTTCGAATTTAGCATCCCCTTCATTAACCTTACTCTTAGTTGGGTGTAGTAAAAACCCTTAATATGAATTACGTTTAATAAAGATATCAAAGAACTAAATTAATCTCGGTTTAAAGAACTTACCTACAGATGTTTTTATAAAAAAATATACAATCTAGTTTTTAATAATTTTACAAGAAAGATAACTTTTTATATTATAAATTTACGAGCGTAAAAAGTATAACAGATTAACTTCGTATACACGACATTTAAGACAATTTAAAACACGATATAAAAACACCATATACGAAAAAAAAACACGAAGTAAACACAAAACAATAAATTTTCACAGGAAATTGATCCTTAGTTAATCCAATCAGAAAGCCGAGAAACACAAATAAAAATACAAAAAGGGATATTAAATTTCATCACAAAAAATTTAATATGATTAACCTTACTAATTTGATACAAACTAAACAAAGTAAATTTTATCTGGTGCAATTAAGTTTATTACATATATGGAAGGATATTTCGACTTTTTGTAAGATATAAATACAGACCGAAACTCGTCAATGAAAGCATCGTGATTTTAATATGCTTCTTTTATACATTTTACACAAAAATTTTATTAAATTAGAATTATTTAGATTAATTAATGAACTAAAAATTTGGTCCTTTGAGTTTACAATCCACTAAAAATATCAAATAGACTAGTCATATTTAGTTGATACTTAAAGATAAAAATTAAACTGCAGTGATGGTCTAATTGTTATAAAAACCATTTAAGTCCCATCCTAAATTTAAAAGATAAATGTGCTCCACTGTGGCTTTAACGTTTTGCTAAACAGCGCCGATTATAAAATTTTTTTAAACCTTTATTGCTAAGAAGTGTTATCGTTGCAGTGTGTACTGTTTCTCATCAGTTATTATTTATAGACTCCTAATTAAAATTAGTGTTCACCTTACGCTTAAATAACGGTACGTGGGATTGGAAGTTGTCTTCGTAGCTTAAATGTTAGAAGTATTGACCACGCTGATCTCTTTTTTAACTTTGCTTATTTAAATTTTGAAAAATCCCAATGTGGAGACGCCCGAATTTGGTTGCAATTTACTTTGGTATAGGATAATATAAACTTCGAGTCAGGTCCAATCACATCAAAGCTTTAAATACTTCCTT